ACCCTTTAAGACATAAAATTAAATGAGGTTTTAACCTTTAAAAAAGATCTCCATTTCATTATTAAAATACACAGTTTCATGCAGAAAAATTCATTTTTACTGCAATTAAGATGTTTGCACATGCCTTTCTAATCTCTATATATCTGACTATTACTAGTCACAGTTATGGACTATTTTAAGTCTTTCTCCTTTGTGGATAGAGGCATAGTCTTGAAGTGATTAAGATCACAAAATGCTGGAAAATAAGTGTCATAACAACTAGACAGCTGGATTTAAGTGTTTTCACTATGTGATAGTCATATATAGTCACAGGAAAAATTTAAACTATATTATAGTTTTACTTTTTCTAGATCTGTTAGAATTTGAATATGTAGATTAATGTGTTCTTGTCACGCCATCTCCAATGAAGCCTGCTTGAGATCCTCCATGGGTTGAGGCTGGAACTTCAAAGAAGGTTGCCTCTTGGAACTGGCTGTGTTAAAAAAACATGCAGTGTACTTGGCATGCTTTTACTTGCTATTATCTTTCTGTCTGTCACTGTATCATGGACTTAGGGGCCCAGAAAGCACCTGGTGTCCTTGACACCGCTGTCACTGCCTTTATTGAATCTTTTAATTATCCTAGTATGCAGGAAGAGTTCTCAGAAACTCAATCACAAAAGACAACTTTGCCTCCAGGGAATAACGGATTTCTAGAAAAGAGACATAGATGGGTAAATATAGATAGAAGAAGGGTTTCTTGGTATTCATTACAATTCATGGATAAATTGACAAGATCAAGACCACCTTGGTGTCTTTTGATAAAAGATCAACAAGAAAGCATTAAAAGGCAACTACAGACATTTGAAAGTTGGAAAAGATAGGAGGGAAAGACAGTTACATAGGTCCCTAACATGGGATGATTTTTTAGGATCTAAGGGGTTAAAGAATGACTTGGAAGCCCGGTGGCCCACTACAAATAAGCAAGGAATGTTATCAAATAGTTAAAAATGAAATATCATGCACAGTTGATATTGAAAGTACTTGGTGGTTTAAGGTCATTCTGACCTGAAAACACAAAACTAGCAGAGTTCTGAGTGCGTAATAAAAACTGGTAGTAGAAACCATAGTATCATAAAGCAGGAGTTTGCTGACTAGTACCAGGTTGATAAGATAGAGAAATGTGTTTTGGCTATATATGAAGGTTGGAAAAATTGTTTTACTTTTACTGAAAATCTTAGAAGGTGACTAATTACAGAACAGTCATGCTGATGATGAACTTTCGCAATCTTTGCTGTATATATTTCAAACCTTGCAGCTGCAAAAATACACTCAGACCTTCATCAAGCTCCTTTGTGTCTGTCTGTCATTCGCCGACTCCTTGTCCACCCTCTCGACGACCCTGTTCCCGTCGGACTGAACTGCCCGGTCTGGGCTGGTCCGTCGCATGTTCTTAATCAGATACTTGTGGCTGTGCTGATTGGAAAGTTTTATTTCTGAAGTATTGCAGTTTTAGTCCTGCTTCTCACCTCGTGTTACCACTTTCTTACATATGACTATTGGTTACTTTCAGTTATAGAATTCAGCGTTGATTGTACTAAAAGTTCATTTTCCATTGTTTATATTTGATAGCTGTAACTTTCAGAAACAACGAAGAACTAAGGTTTAAAGAATATCAATCTCAACCACAAAAGAACAGTGAGTTTAAAAAGTAATAGTGTGTACTTAATTTCGAGTGGTTTGAAACTGCTACAGAAAAGTCAAAAAGAAAGAGTAATTAATTAGAGGACCTCATGAAAAGGTAAAAGGGTGGTGAGAATTGGGCTTGAAAGTCTTTACAAAAATAAATGTAAAATAAATAAAAGAACCAGGAAGTCTACAGCTCTTTAAAAAAGCACACATACCTTTGGATACCTTGAACTTTAATAAATAACCCCAGTTTTTAAGCTCATATGAAAATCAACTAGTTCTTTAATTTTTGTTTGAGGAAAGGTCTTCCTGTAGCCCCAACTGGCCTAGATTTCACTGTGTAGACGAGGTTGGCCTAGATCTCAGAGATCTGTCTATCTGCCTCATAAGTGCTGGGATTAAAAATGTGAGCTCCCACACTCAGTGAAAATCAACTACTGTTTAGAAATCTCAGATATTCTTGATAGTTCAGTGTATTTCTCCTGAAGTCATTTGCGTTTTCTTTGTATTGTGTTTTATTTAAATTAAAGGTTGCAGAAAGAGTGGCAGCAGAAAGGGCCGAATCCTGTGGCAATGGTAATAGTACTGGATACCAAATTCGTCTCCAGAGGTAAGCGGTGCTCACTTCTGAACACAGGTTGATTTCAGGAGGTTTTTTTTTTTTCTCCTTCCTTTTATGTTGATTCTTGCTATTAAAATTGTCATTTATTTTAATGTTTTACTGTGTTTTATTTGTGTGTGTGTATGAGTATGGGGATGCGCTTGGGCACATGTGGTTAGAGAACAGTTGTTGCAAGAGTCCATTCTCTCCTTCCATGATGTGGTCCCCGGGATTGAACTCAGGTTTTCAGGCTTGGGGGCAAGCTGAGCTACTCACCAACCCCTTAATTATTGTTACATTTTTAGTTAAAGGGTAAGCAAGCAAAATTTATTGAGAAGTAAAGAAACAGTTCCTTGTAGCTGGGAAGTGACTAGAGAATGAGTTGTCCTAAATTGTCCTAAGTGTCCTAAATTGACATTTAAAGCAGGTTTGCTATTAGTTGACTTTACTACCATAAACCCTTTCAACCCCAAAATTGCCATTAAGGAATAATTTCAAAATAATTTTTTAGTAGTGAGTCATTATACGCCCTCAATGAGTTGGTGTCTTCTGTGCCTTTTAATGTTACTTATTTACCCCCTTGATAGTCTTTATTTTTTTGTGAGGTTTTTTTAAAAATTTTTTTATTTATTATTTTTAGTTTATGTGTATGAGTGTATTGCCTGCATGTATGTGAGTGCACCCGTGTTGTGCAGTGCCATGGAGGTCAGAAGAGGGCTTCAGATTCCCTTGGATCTGGAGTTAAGGACGGTTCGCAGCCACTCTGTGGGTGCTGGGAATCGAACCTGGGTCTTCTGCAAGAACATTCAGCGCTCTTAACCGCAGAGCATCTCTCCAGCCCCGATAGTCTTTATTTATTGATATTTGTGTCATTAACTCTGTATCCATCTCTGCTAAACTTTTTTAGTCCTTTCCTGGAGCTCAAGTGTCATTTGATCTGTTTAAATGGAAAGAATTCCATTTGATGAATCAGAAATTTAGGGCCCATAAATAAGTTCCTTTATACTCTGAATATTAATGATTATGCCTGTAAAAAGAAGTAATTGTTATATCATAAAATAGTGTATGATACATAAAGAATTTAATGTTGTATTTCTCAATGCTATTGTGGTAGATGCTGTTATAACTAAAATATTAAGTATGAAGATTTTTCTCAAACTTTTGTGATACTTAGTAATCTCTTAGAAAACCAACAATTAATAGCTCAGGTCTTTTCTTCACAGTCGGTTGCCAAGGAAACAGGGTTCTATCTTATACTGTACAACAGGAATCATCCTTCAGTGGCTCCAGTCAGACTCGTGAGTATGTTTCACTAGAGAAATTAGAAGTAGGACCAAAGAACTGGGCAGAGTAGCTCATGGGACTCCTAGAATCTGGGAGATAGAGGCAGGAAGATCAAGAGTTCAAGGCCAGCCTTGGCTGCATGACAACCCCCTCCCCCCAAGCCCCTGTCTGCCTAGCTCTCTCTCTCTCACACACACAAACACTCCAGTACATGCGCACACACGAAAGTTTTATGTCTATATCTATACAGATATCCATAGATGTTATTTTAAATAAGATTTTGTTAGTTTTTAAAGAAAAATGGTTGTTTTAAATTTTTTGCTGTTACAAACTTTGTGCTTCTGTTTTAGGCGTTTGTCCAGTGTTAGTCATATTGTACTTGATGAAATTCATGAAAGGAATCTACAGTCAGATGTTTTAATGACTGTTATTAAAGATCTTCTCAATTTTCGATCTGATCTGAAAGTAATATTGATGAGTGCAACATTGAATGCTGAGAAATTTTCAGAATATTTTGGTGAGTAATATTTATAAATACATTAGGAAAGGTATCAGAAAAATCACTAAATTTAACTATAAACAACAGGGACTGGAGAGATGGCTCAGCAGTTAAGAGCACTGGCTGTTCCTCCAGAGTACTTGGATTTGGTTCCCAGCACCCACATGGTAGCTAACAGCCATCTATAACTCCAGTTCCAGGGGATCTGATGCCCTCTTTTGACCTCCATGGGCATATAACACTCCTACAACATAATAGTAGATAATTAACAAAACAAAACTATACAGTACTAGATATAGAGTAATCGAAGTGAATGTTTACTGATTCATTTTATTGTAATTCTGTCTTATGCTCTAGTTTCCTAGATTAGAAAACCGAGCCTGCTTTTTAAAATGGCAGCATCATTCTCTCCTATCATGAGCAGGTAGTTTCTTGGTGCTGTTACCAACAGTGAGGTGATATCATTGAAAGGCTTGGAAATTTTTATAACCTTGTTTCTGTGCGTGTGAATATTCTGTCACATGCGTGGGCACAGGCTAGGCTGACAGTTTGCTAATCCTTCTGGGGCACCCTCAGTGTGCCAGGTAGTATTTGGCAATTTGTCTTCACTAGTTCTTGTAGAATCTTAAGACAGCAGGTACTATTAACTGTGCTCCTTTTTACAAACAGAAAGCAGCCTCAGAGCTGTTGAATAACTTATCCATAATTGCTTCATTAACAGGACAAGAGAATCTGAAAGTAGGTTTGACTCTCTGGCCTTCTTTTTCTAGAAATTCTTCCTGTCTTTCCTGCTTATAATTGTGGAATTATAAAAGGGGAGAAATAAGAAATTGATGTAATAAATGTATTTAATTGTTATCTTTGGGTTTTAAAAACTCGTTTAAAATATACCCCAGTTCATCATTAATAGTTTTTTGAGGTAGTTAGGATAGGTGTGTCACTTTTGTTTGTGTTTTAATAGAACACCTATACCTAATAGATTGTGAATAACTTGCTCAGTTTTATGCTGATCACATGCCGAGCAGTGGCAGTAGCAGTAGCTCAGGTATTTTGACCTGTGATGATGTTGTAGCCTTTGTTTACCACAGAGTAACCACACTGCTTCTTGATTTGCTCATTATGAAATGTAAACAGTGTTTCAGTAATAGTACTGAGGTGATTTTATTAGTGATTTTGAGATGCTAACAATTTAATATTTGATTAGTTCTTATTTTAACATCTGTCTCTGTCTCTCCCTTTTTCCCCCTCCCGAGTTTGGGGTACCACAGAGAGTAGTGCTTTTGATCCTGTTGTCAGTAGAACTTGGATCTAGCATTTACCTTCTTGGGTGATAATGAAGGAAAATAGACTTACAATGTGTAATTTTTAGTTCAACTTAAATGGCTTTATGATTGGTGTATTCTGTGTTATTTTATAGAGAGATATATACAGTTTGGTAGAAGTAATTAGGGAAGAACCCAAGGTAGAGTGCCCAGCTGTTTTCTAGTGTTAGAAAATAGGAAGAGTGCAGTGTTGGTCACAGTATGTTGATACTTGATTTTGAACATTGAATACAAATTCATGTTTATGTTTTGTCTGCCATAATAGGTAACTGTCCAATGATACATATACCTGGTTTTACTTTTCCGGTTGAGGAATATCTTTTGGAAGATATAATTGAAAAAATAAGGTAAACATTAAGTACTAATGTATCAGAAAGTACTAGTGTATCGCCATTCCCATGTCACGTTCTTAGAAACCAATCACTGCCCACTTTCTTCTTAACATTATTTTTCCCTGTATCTTGGATTTCTAAGCTTGACTGTACATGAAAATAACCTGGTGTCTTAATCTTGATGCCCACTTATACTCATTTTAACTATATATCAGTGGGGTGGGGACAAGACCTAGTATTTTCTCAAGATCCTTGGGCAGTGAGGTTTGGGCATCTTTGTCATTGGTACTTGAACCTCTCTTGTACTTCTACTTGTTTTGCATTCCTTGCTGGCTTCCATTGGCCACCGTTTAAAGTACGATTTCCCCCAGGGCCTTAGACTTTCTGTGCTTTCGTTGTGCAGTCCTGTTTGTTTCCATGGCTGTCGTTCTGCATTTGCAGCGCTCTTATCGCTGCTGCGTCAAGACTGAAGGTCTTCCCACTCTGAATTCTTCTCTACTCAGGAGCATTCCTACCACAAACACCTTCCACCTGAGAGCTTTCAAACCAAAACCAGTCCTGTATCTGATCACCACCAGTGTCCCACCAGCACAAGTAAAATAAAACATTCTATCTTACCCCAAATATCTTATGGTTAGTGATACTATCTTCCATCAGTTTTTTAGAGTATAAATTAAATAAATGACAGTCTTCATCAAGCAGTATGTACTGGCCTTACCTACTGAAATGCTGAGTAGCCAGGTTAAGCCAAGCCATTTTGTACTTACTCTGAGACATGCCTAACATCTGAGAACTTTATCCTTTATGCCTTTGCATTCTTTACTGGTGATTCTTACTGTCTGACCTGTTAGAATGGTTCTTTGTTTTTACCTTGGAATTTCATGTAAACAGATCTGATCATTGAGCTTTTACCCCCCTGAGGAAGCCTCGTGCATATGAAATGTCTGAGAGAAACTGTTTAAGAGCCTTTTTTGATTTGATATGTTTTATATCCGAGAACCTTGGCTGATGTGCCTTTTATCAGTTCTGTCAACAGTGGCCATTGGCCTTTAGCTACTCGCAGCCTTCTCTAGTGAACTGTACAAAATTATATCGAATTCCTTAATGGGAAGAAGGCCGAGAAAAGAAAGCATAGGCTTCCAGATCCTGAGCTCATCATCCAAAACCCTTTCTTTACTAGCTTGCATTTCATTTCACTGTGATGTATCCTGTGGCTTGCCGGTGCTAATGTCCTATTTCCTAAACAGCCATGTATGGCTCTTTCTCTATGACCTGCTGTTTTTGTCAATTTTTTTTTTCCTTTCAGGTTGCATTTGGCACTTCCTCTGTCTTTTCTTTCGTAAACTTTTAAGAAAAATCCCCTTTCCCTTTCTATGCTGCTTTGATCTGACACCTGCTTTACTGCTGACTGTAGTATATATTTATATTTGCCTCTTGTACTAGATTTCAAACTTTCAAAAGTCAAGAATTTTCTTATTCACCTTAGTAACTAGAGCGCACAGTGCCTAGCCTATAGTAAACACTTAAATAAGTAAATAAATTAAATAGATAAATAATAGATGTAGAAACACTTATCTTTTTTCAGACATGATAGCTTATTTGTTAATTTAAAAAACTAGAAATTGTGGGAAAGTAATAGCAAAGATGTAGAGCTTAATTTACATGGTGAGAAGTTACCTGAATTTTGACTAGACCTTTACCTAACGTATAGCTTTATATTTTTCATTGTGTTAACTTGAGTACAAAACAAGGAAAGGATTGGTGGATACCTTTTGAATTTGTATAGGTAAGCTACTTAAAGTTTGAGGGGGTGTAAGAAATGAGTTGATGCATCGGGCAGCTTGAGCAAGCTCGGAAAGCAGTGAAAGAGGGTAGGAAAAGGGACGAGGACATTTCAGAGGGTGGGATGGATGCCTTAGAAGGGAGACAGTACATAACTATTTTCTGTGGCTCGTGTTTAGTAGATGACCTTAAATTTTGTATGCAATTACATCCTTTTTGTACCATGTGCCCCACTTTCTGTCTTGGCATATTTAGCGGTTAGCTTTGTTAAGAGGATAGTTAATAACAGCTTAGCAGTATTGAAAATGAAATTGGGGGATCAGCTGTCTAAATTTGACAGTGAATTGTTTTCCTATGCTTACTGGAAGACAGAGAAGGTACAAGGAACTGGAGGGAAGGGGTCTCTTGCAACAAAGAGAAGGTATTTGTGTAGCTGCCCCCAACCAGCTTTAGAAGGGTGATTGAGGGAGGATGGTCTTTGGGGAGAGATTTTTATCAGAAGCCCCAGCTATTTCCTTGAAAACTGTGTAGGAGGTGAGAAACAATGGTTAGACCAAGTGTGGGACTGAGTAATATGGAGGGTTGTGACTGAGTGTAGTTGAATGTTATCTCTGGTTTTTTAAATCACATGGAAAGGAACCAGCTGTGGGGTCCATGCTTAGGACCTTTCTCTGTCTCAGGTTATTCTACTTCAAGTTTGTTGCCCTTATATGTATTGAAAACACAGGAAAGGGAATTTCCGCTTTTTGGTGTTTGCCACAGATCAGGCACTGTGTTTTATCATTTTATATTTATTTCCATGTCAGAACAACAGTAAGAGTATTAATTGCACAAGTAATTTAAGTAGGATTGAAAGCCAGAAGTTGACTACCTTCTGCAGGGTCACACAGCCTGTCGCTGACAGAGCTGGGGCATCTTTTCTGTCTGATGCAAAGCCTGTACTCCAGCCCCTCCCCCTGTTCCATCTGGGTACTGTACTTTAACTCTGGGAGCCTTTGGGGTTAAAGTGTAGATTCATTTTTGCTTTGGCTGTCCCCACCCTCTCAGCTTCTCAGAACTCACAAGGGAAGTGATGCATTCTTGGGCACAGGCTCTCTGTTTTTGAAAGCAGTCGCTAGAGCCTGGTAGTGACACTTTGGCACCATACAGGACACTTGCAGCCTAAGTGGTAGTTCATTTGCTCTTAGCTGCTGCTGGCAGCAGAGCTGTGTGGTTCCCTAGCATGGGGATGCATCTCCTTGAGTCACTACTTAAAATCGTAAAGGACCTGAATCCAAGTCATAGGGATAGTATTTAGAAATTAGTTTTGTAAGCTCCCCAGGGGATTCTTATGTGCAGTTTAGTTTAGAAAAACTGTTTTCAAAGTCAGCATTATTTGACCAGGCAGTGATTGAATGTGACTTTGTATCTTCTGGTAATGTAAAGTTTTGTTTTAGAGCAAATTTAAAATTGAAAGTAAATGTTATTCTTAGTGTTCATTTTTCATTTTGACTGTTAAAATGCTGTAGAGATTTATTATATATGTCAGTACAGAATAATTTTTATCTAAAATATGTTCTTTTAACACTTAAAAATAAGTTAAAATCATAGTGAAAATATTCTTTAGAATCTCTTTTTAAATCTTCATTGTAACAAGTCAGAGTTTAACAAGTGACGATATAAGAATCTTTTTATTTTAGATACGTTCCAGAGCAAAAAGAGCATAGATCCCAGTTTAAGAGGGGTTTCATGCAAGGGCATGTAAACAGACAAGAAAAAGAAGAAAAGGAAGCCATCTATAAAGAACGCTGGCCGGATTACACGAAGGAACTGCGCAGAAGGTGATGGGGAGGGAGAACAGTAGCTGAACAGAGTCCGGTTGCCTTGACTTTGTATGTCCTTGAAGGAGAGAATGTCCTAGCTAAACACACTGGGTTGACTCCCTGCTGTATTTTATCCGAGTAATTTTCCATATTTATCCAGTAATATTTCCAGTTTTCAGTTGTCTGAAGATTGAGTTACAGTTAAGGTTTTATAGCCCTTCTTATAGCCAATGGGAACTTTATCAAGTAATTCATGATTTTCTATATGATTTTTCGTAGATATTCTGCAAATACCGTGGATGTTTTGGAAATGATGGATGATGATAAAGTTGATCTGAATTTGATTGCTGCCCTTATTCGGTACATTGTTTTGGAAGAAGAGGTTAGTTTTGTTTAGTTTTTCTTGAAGTAACACACTTTGTAATTTTATTAATCTATCAAATCACAGAAAACATTGTCTTCAAATGTTTTAAAAAAGTAAACGAGAAGAAATAATCTCAAAACAGCAATATATTTAAGTATCCTATTTAAAGAAACTAAACAAAGTCTATGAATTATAAGTCTGAGGTTTTTAAAGTGACTATATTCTGTTCAGTATTATCCAGAGCTAGTATAATCTTAATGAGGATGTAAGTGTGCATAGAATTTATTAGTGTGATTATTGCTATGATCCTCTGTAATGGTGATTTCCTGTCCATATAGGATGGTGCAATACTGGTCTTTCTACCAGGCTGGGACAATATCAGCACTTTACATGATCTCTTGATGTCACAAGTGATGTTTAAGTCAGGTACTATGTAAACGTACTTTACTGTAATTCCAAGAACGAGAGACTCCTGTACAGTATCTTCCCCACCCACCTTAGGTTGAGGAAGCTGTTACTTACGAAGTTATATCAGTATTGGAATTTAATGATCTAAGTACAGCTTAGGTTTTCTTCTTTAAGAAACTCTTCTGTGTCTCTAGTAAAGATGGTACATGTATTGTGAAGCTCTTATTCAATTTTATGAAGACACTACCTCCTTTTCCAAATTTTCCTAATAAAATTGAACATGAAGGTTAAAATGTTGATCAAAACACCGTATATACATGTATGAAATTCTCAATAAAGTTTTTGTAAAAGTTATAGAAAGAAAGAAAGCAGGCTGAGCACATACAGGCTAGAGGAGCAAGCCAGTAAGCAGCATTTCACTGTGGGCTATGCTTCAGTTCATGCCTCCAGGCTCCTGCTTTGAGTTCCTGCCCTGACATCCTTCAACGATGAACTGTGGCTTGAGAATTTTAAGATGAAATAAACCCTTTTCTCCACCCGCCCCCCACAAAAAAAGTTGGTATTTGGGGCTTCTCATTTTTTTTCCCTTCTCATTGAAAGTTTAATTAATGGCCAGGATGTAATTAGTGGCCTTTTATGGATGTTATTGGGAAAGATGATTCCCAGCATTGAAAATTCTTAAGAATTTGGGGCAAATGTTAAGTCAGTGTAAAGCAGTTTAACAGGGTAAAATGCAAAGTGGAACTCATTGGAGCTCTCATAAATCAAAATTATAGAAAAATTAGTTGGTCTTATTGTGTGTAGAAATATTAAGAACTGTGTTATTCAGCAGCTGAATTCATTGTTCCATACATGTTTGATGGGGCTTTAATTTATTTTTTAATTTTCAGATAAGTTTCTTATTATACCTTTACATTCACTGATGCCTACAGTAAACCAGACACAGGTATGTTGTTGAATTTGTTTCCTGTCTTTCAAACTGAGGCAAGCAGTAAGGAATACTTAACTGATTCTCTCTCTCTCTCTCTCTCTCATTTATTTATGGGATACTTTCAAATATTAAAAATACTTTCTTAAGAACCTTTACAAATGAGTCTTCACAAGATGACCACTAAAAACCTTAACCTAGAAATTATTTCTGATATACAACAGCTTGATCTTGATGCTTTGATTGATCGCAATTACTGTATTAGCAGGTATCAGTTTTCTTGTTTGACCAACAGTGTATCGTCAGTGCTCTTGCGCTGTCAGATCCAGGATTTCCCTAATGAGAGTATTTCATTCTCAGGAAAGATGATTTCCTGTCCTGTAATGTTTTCGGACCCTGGTAAAAGGAATAAAAAAAAACTACCTTTTCAGTTTTTCAGTTTTTTCTGTAAGAAAATACTATGTTGAATGAGATGAAGGATGCATGTGTGAGGGAGGAGCCTGGAAAGAATGAGCTTTGGTTTCCAAAAGTTAGATCAGAGAGTATTTAGGGCAGTGTACTAACCTTCAGCTCTCAGGGGGAGTAGAGAATACATGCTTTGGCTAGAGAATAAGTATCTACTGGTTACTGACTGCTTGGTTGTGTAATCAAGAGATAAATAAATTCCTTTGGATGTGTGTATGCCTTAAAGCCAAAGGTATTGAACCTCTCTTCTACTTTGGTGTCATTGTCAGGGGTAGTAGTTGTAAGATTTGTATTTGAAGAGGATTTTTACTCAAGTCTAATCTTAAGCAAGTATACACTGATAGAGCAGCTGATGTCCATCCTGATGGTAAAGCATCTGCCTCATTGGTTCATGATCTCTGTTGGTGTGGCCTTGCAAATCTTGTTTAGAAACTTATTTCTCTCTTTCTTGATGCTCTTTGGCTTTTGTTAATAGACATGCTAAAGGTTTAAATAATCATTTTATTTCAGTCTTGTTTGTGGTAAGATTGTGACATCTTCGGGAGCTTATTTACCAAAGAGAGTCTGGTGTATTGAAAATGATGTATTTGTTAAGGATATATCTGTGAGGCTGGGCGTGGTGGTGCATGCCTTTAATCCCAGCGCTAGGGAGGCAGAGGCAGGTGTATCTCTGTGAGTTTGAGGCCAGCTCGAGGCCAGCCTGGTCTGTGTAGGGAATTCCAGGCCAGCTGGGGATACTGGGAATCCCTGTCTTAAAAAGAAACCCCCCCCCCCCAAAAAAAGAAAAAACCAAAACAAAGGATATATCTGTAAGTTAGACGTATATTACCAAATCAACACAAAATGCCAAAAGTGAACACAGGATCTGAAGAAATAACGTTGTAAAAGTAATGTGTCAGAAATCAGTGTACTTATGATGTATTTATTCTTTCAGGTATTTAAAAAAACTCCTCCTGGTGTTCGGAAAATAGTAATTGCTACCAACATTGCAGAAACTAGGTAAAACGATTTTAAATATCAGCTATTGATGATCATATAAGTTTTGAGCACCCTATATTGTTACTGTAGCTTACTTAGTCTCTTCTCTACAAAGTACTTTATAATCTGTTCAAAATCAATTTTTTTAAAGTTAATTATGGGTAGTTAAATATAACTTTGGTAGTTCTAAAGCTGTTATACTGTTTTAGCTCCCTTCATTAAAATAACCCTTTAAAAGCATTTTTTCAAAGCTTTTCTAAAGAACTGTGGGAGCTGATACAAATTTAGTTCTTTCTGTCTGTTTTCCAGTTAGAGATGGTGGTATGTTGTAATTAATTATATTCAGCTTTAAAGTTTTCTTATGTTCTCGTGGAGGATACTAGTATAGAGTTCAGTAGCTGAAACAAATTACTTTCTGGAAACTGCTGTTATCCCTCATCTTCTAGGGGCTGCAGAGCTACCTCAAGGTAATTGAAATGCTAAGAACCTTCCTGTAGGCACGTGGCAATATAGCGTGTGGCCTGCAGAACTGGCATCCTGCTGCCACCGTACACACTGATGCTGCTTATTAGGTGCTTGACCTCTAAATTGGGAAATGGGACATGAGCATCAAAAATCCTGAACTACTAAAATGCACTTGATCCAGCTAAAAAAGTATTAAAAACCCATTTGTAGGCCTGGTATAGGTTAATAGTACTTCTGATGTACTATTAACATATATGTTAATATATATGTTTTCCAACAGCATTACCATAGATGACGTGGTTTATGTGATAGATGGAGGAAAAATTAAAGAGACACACTTTGACACGCAGAACAACATCAGTACGATGTCTGCTGAATGGGTTAGTAAAGCTAATGCCAAACAGAGGAAAGGTAGAGCTGGAAGGTAAGATGGAAACTTTGCCCAGAACCTTTAGAACATGATTTTAAAAGAATATGTTGCAAATTATGTTGCTGTGATTTAAAAGTATTATTTATTAGGACAGTTACCTTGTATGATTTATTGAATTTAGAACATTTTTTAGGCTATCAGTATATGTTTTTAAGTAATTTCTTTTTAATTAGCATACAAAGTAATAGTTTCTTGGTGACATTTTCATACATTCTCATCATTATGTTTTGTTCATTTTTGCCAAGCCTTCTTCTCTTCCCCCTCCGTCCCTTTCCTTTATCCAGATAGCTCTTTTTTCGAGGACATAATACTTCTTTACTCTCTTCTTCCCTGTTCTGTCTACGTTTAAAACTCTTCCTCCCCTCATATTGTGTCCTCTATTTTAATGTAATTACTATCTGTCTAATCATCCACCTAATTTACATTATCTATACATTTAAATCTAGATTTCTGTGTATGGGAAAAAATTAGGTATCAGCCTTTCTGGATCTGACTGGCTTCATTTAACATTTTCCTGCAGGTGTCATGATTTCATCTTTAGAGCTGAATAAAATTCCATTGCATACGTACCACATTTTCTTTATCCACTTGTCTTTTGGTGAACGTTTTAAGCTGATTCCATGTCTTGGTTATTGCGGTTACAGCAGCAATAAACATGGCTGTGTAAATACCTCTATGGTATGTGGACATAGATTCCTTTGGCTGCATTCTTAGGAACAGTATAGCCATGTCACGTGGTAGCCATGTCACGTGGTAGCCATGTCACGTGGTAGCTCTCTTTTTTTAGGGTTTGGAGGAACCTCCATATTGATTTCCTTGGTGTCCATTTCCTTAGTGTTTGTAGCAGTTTACATTTCCACCAGCAGCGTGTAAGTATGTCTTTCCCCACCTTCTCACCAACATTTGTTTGTTTTTTGATGTTACCCATTCTGAAGAGGTAAGATGGGATCTAGATGTAGTTTGAATTTGCATTTCCTTGATGCCTGTGTATCACAACACATTTTAAAACAGGAAAATATTTTTATTTCTACTTAATATGGGAAAGTATCTGACAAGTTTTCTGTTTTCTCTAGCTATTGTGTGTTGGATTAAAATTAATGTCCTTTATATTACTTACAGTTTTGTTTCCATGTCTGTTTTTGAAGTGTGTTACTAATACAAACTAATACCATATGAGAGCTCGCTTATCTCCTGAATGCTTTGTGTCCTTAATTCTTACCACACTGCTGTGGGTAGGCAGTTATCGCCATTTTAAGAGTAAGGAAATAAGATAAAAAGAAATTAAGTAATTTGTTCAGGGCCCCAGACTTCTGTATAATGCACAGACGGAATTTGAATACAGGAATCCAAGTTCCACAGTTTGGGGTCCTAGTCTCTGTACTTAAAGCAGTACTGATTTTGACCATTAATTACCAGTAAACACACAAGGAAAGTCCTTTTTTTCTGTTGATTTAGTAGTATAAGAAATACCTGTTTTAGTGGTAAGAAAAGATGTCTTGAATGTTTACAAACATTTGTGTTTACTGCTTCCTTCCAATGCACATTTCATAGTTTTTTTGTTTTTGTTTTTTTTTGGGTCTTTTCGAGACAGGGTCTCCCTATGTAGCCCCAGGAACTCACTATGTAGACCAGGCTGGCCTTGAACTCACAGAGATCCTCCTGCCTCCGCCTCCGGAGTGTTGGGATTAAAGGCGTGCGCCACCATGCCCGGCTCATAGTTTTTTTATACTCTGACATATAAGTAATAGAATCATATCTGGAGGTTCTTGAAGAGAGTTTGTCGTTTACCTTTTACAGGTTGAAAAAAAGTCCCACTAATCTTCAGATACAGACCCATGTAAGAAAAGGAAAGTTGAAGAAAACTTTACTGGGCATTATATCATCCCTTTGTTTTAAATCTGTGCTGTATCTGTAGAGCTCTGGCTCACTTGCTGTTATCATTGCAGTTTGTCCGTGTATACCCTTATTTCTCAGCAGTTTATTAGATCATGAGGTTGATGCTATTGAACCAAATAATTGCTTTGCAGAGTCTGATTAGATTGATGGTTGTTTTGCGGGGCGGGTCACAAAAAAACTATACTATGTGGACTTCTGTGGAAATACTGTTAGTTTCTGCTGTATGTTAGACAGTAGATAGTGGGCCTCTACCACCAGAGACTTGCTAGACAGTAGAGAGTGGGTAAAAAAAAAAAACCCTTCTAAAAAAAAAAAAAAAAAAAAAAAAAAAAAAAAAAAAAAAAAAAAAAAAAAAAACCTGAGGTTTTTAGAACTTTTATTCTTACCAGCAGCAAGAGCCCTTAGAAATAATTTTTCTGCTTAGAAATACATGAAATCCTGTCACTTTTTTGCATCTTTTATTCATGTCATTAGTTGCAAACATAAGACAAAAATTTTCCAGGGCCTGAGAGCTTGCTAAATAGAATATACTTAATGTTTCTCTTAAGTAATGTAGACAGCTTAATACATATAGTACAGGGTTTGCTACAAAGTGTGCTCATGGGGTATAGTTGAGGTTACAGCTCTAAGCCTGATGTGAGTAGACAACTATTACTTGAGCAAGGTAAGTGGAATTTCAGAAATAAGGCACCAGATTATTTTGTATTTCTTTCTAAAAATGGAACATGACAGATAGAGGTAGAAGTAAGTTCTAATCCGTACCACAGTAGTGTGTACTTAACAGTACTCTATTACATACTTTACAAAGAGCTCAAAGAGAGTTGCTTTTAACAAAAATAGGAAATGAAAATGCCAGTCACACTGATCTGATCAATACACATGTACACATCTATTGAAATGCAGCACTATATCTGTAATTATATATTAGTTTAAAAAAATAATTGAAAGAAACTAGAGCCAAAAATACAAAACAGTTTGAACATTGGGACAGGCATGGTGGTGCATGTCTTTAATCCCAGCACTCATGAAACAGGCAGGAGAATTTCTGTGAGTTTGAGGCCATTGTGGTCTGCATAGCGATGTCCAGGCCAGCGAGGACTACATAGTGAGACCATACCTCAAAATAATGGAAAGAAAAAAGCAAAAAATCTCTCCTCATTACAAAAACAATAATAAAGATTTGGACATTGGTCTTTTCAAAAGAGAATAAGAAGACGGGCTTTCATAGAGATGAAGCACTGAGCATGTGGCTTATGGATGGTTCCCCTCACCCTCTTTTCCCTGGTGTTCTAGTCACTGATAATGCTCTTTTTTTTTTTTTTTTTACAAAAAGAGTTCAACCCGGTCATTGCTATCATCTGTATAATGGCCTTAGAGCAAGTCTTCTAGATGACTATCAACTACCAGAAATTTTGAGAACCCCTCTGGAAGAACTTTGTTTGCAAATAAAGGTATATTGATTGGGAGAATTTATAAACTAAATGGGGGGTGGTATTATAATTTTCAGCATCTTGTAGGTATATTAACCTACAAGAAGGAATTATTTCTGTACACTTTAGTTTTGCTTATGTGAGGAAAATAATTTAAACTTCAGATATATATATATATATATATATATATATATGTGTGTGTGTGTATGTATACTTATAAATGTATGTATATGTAACAATAATAAAGATGACAAGAATTTTTTTTGTGGACAGCTGGAACCAGGTTACCTGTATTTGAATCCCACTTCCTACCTGAAAACCTAGTTTTCAATGGGCAGATTATTTAACTTCATGTAAAATTCCTAAAATGGTATCTGGCATATAATATGTTAGCTAATTCAGTAACTGTTAGCTACTGTTACTTAGTCTCTGTGGTACAGAGGATTGAACCCCGGGCTTTATGCATGGCTGGGCAAGCTTGCTACCCACTGTGTGACAGCCTCAGCACTTTCTGAAACTTGTTGACCTTGAGACAAGGTCTCTGGAAGTGGCCCAAGCTGACCTTGAACTCATTCTGTCAACTAGGCAGGCCTTGCAAGCACTTTTGAGCTCCTGACTCAGCATCCTGAGTAGCTGAAATTGCAGACCTGTGCACCTGGCCCGGGTAGCTATTGTTACTACATCTTAAAATGTTAACCCTTCTTAAAAACTAATTAATTTTTTTTTTGCCATCTTATGTTTTGAAATAACTAACCCTACTTTGAATGTAATAAGTAATAATCAGTTTGTTGAGATTTTTTTAACCTGTTACTTTTCTCACAAGTAGATTTGCTGGTAGAAAGTGATATGCAGGCCTTCTACTGCGTGCTCTTACGTCTCTGTAATTCATGTTTAATTATATTTGTCTCCTCAACAGATTTTAAGGCTAGGTGCAATTGCCTACTTTCTGAGTAGGTTAATGGATCCACCATCAGATGAAGCAGTATTGCTCGCCATAAAACACTTGATGGCACTGGTAAGTTGAATATTTTTTGTTTTGTTTTTATTTCTAACTTACAAATACAAATAAGCACAAATTGCAAATTGCATGCACATGCACACATGCACAGAAACACAAAATTTTAAAAGGGAAAGGAAATGAGTGAACAGATTAGATTGAATCAACTCAAAAGAAGTAACAGATTTTTCACATGACATGCAGCAACAGGTAGAATCTAGAATTATAGTAAAAAAGATACTGTCAAGGGCTGGAGAGATGGCACGGTGGTTAAAAAGTATGCACTATTGCAGAGAACCTATGTTTCATTCCCAGCGCCGGGCAGCTCATAACCACCTGTAACTCCAGCTCCAGGAGTTGCCCTTGGCCTCCACAGGCACTCAGTATACAGGCACAAACATATACTTGAAAAAGAATACATATTTTTATATATATATATATAATGTGTTGCATCTATAAACCAAAGATAAGCCAAATGTTTATCCTGGAAATAGAAAGTATCTTCCTTATGTAAAACATGTGTGTGATTATGATACTCTCCTAGTGGTGTGTCACCTGACTAAGAGTAGCATATTATAGACCATTACAAAGGGCAAACAGTCACATACAATATTTTATAGTGCCAAGTTTGATTTGCTGTTTGTCTTTCATCTTCATTACAAAGTGATACTTCTCTCATTGATTTTAAAACACAGGTCTTCATAATTTTTTTTTTCTTTGCAAGACTAAAATTACATGAAATCTTGACAGTTTTCTTTAGTGATTTTCATACGTATTCTTGAGCTGGGCTGGTTTATTCTACTCTTTCTCATGACTAATGCTTTTTTGGTCAAGTCAAAGTAATTTCATGATAGTATGAATATTTTATAAAAGCAGTCTTTATATTTTGGTAAACTATATAGATAGGTGTCTTCTCTAAAATTCTGTGACATTCCTTTGACTTATCATTTAATATTGTAACTTATTTTCCTACAACATTTTCTGATTTCTTTAATTTCTTTTAAACTGGTTTTGGTTTAAGTGACTGGTTAATTGACGGCCATTCCTCCATAAGACCATGTTGACAGAACTGCAGGACTGGCCATGATGTGGTGCCCAAAGTAGGAAGAAAGATACGAGGATTAGAACAGTGCTGGCCACTCTAGTGGACAGCTAGCTATAAGAGATAGGTTAGTTTAGAGGTTCAGTTAGAAATTTAGTTTTTCAGTTATACTCACACATTTGAAATACTGAATAGCACTTCTGGGTACCAAACTGGACCCTGTAGAAAAGAACGTTTCTGTTTTTGTTGCAAGTGCTGTTTGTTAGTGTTGGATCGAGGGTGCCAAAGACATGTAAAATATCTCACAGGTTTTGGTCATCCATTTAGATAATTTTTATTAAATCTGGACATTGGAATACTATAATAGCTTTTTAAAAATAATGTGCTACTTAAATGAGAAAGTGGTATAAATTAACCAGCTTCATCTTCATAGTTCCTTGGTGTCCTCAGTCCACTTTGCTAGTTGTCCTAGATTACCCAGTGCAGCCAGTGTCATTCCCATGTATGTTCTTTATCTTTTGTTTCATAGCACTTAGACTAGTAGAATCTAGGGATTGCAGTTGATCTAAGTCTCTATTTTTTCTCTTTCTCTATGTACCCCCTCGCGTGTCCATGCTCTCTTTTTCGTAACTACCTAAAGATGAGTGATTTGCTTTATTTGATTGAAAGTTATAGTCTTGTATTTTCTTCTAACAGCATTTCCAAGTTGTAGATTTATTCTGTTTGTTTAAATAAGTCTTTTTAGATCTGAATTTATGTTTTATTGAAGACAACTAAAATAATATTGGCATTTGGGCCTAAGAAAGTAAATAATGGCCTGTTATTTTTTTTTAATAGCAAACTAAAATAACTTTCAGTGTAGTGCTTTACCAGGCCTGTTTTAAAAACACTTTCTTTTCAGAATGCGTTGGATAAGCAAGAAGAATTAACACCCCTTGGTGTCCACTTAGCCCGACTGCCTGTCGAGCCACATATTGGAAAAATGATTCTTTTTGGAGCTTTGTTCTGTTGCTTGGACCCAGTCCTCACCATTGCTGCTAGTCTCAGCTTTAAAGACCCCTTCGTCATTCCGCTGGTGAGTCAGAAGTAAGGGCCAGGCATTTTAATGCCCAAAGTAGTGACTGCTCACATGCATTTTTCATTACATTATCAGTAGAATTCTTTATCCATCCTTATTATACTGTCAAAAAAATTTAGCCACAGCTGTTACGTTACTTTTTAGGGAAAAGAAAAGATTGCAGATGCAAGAAGAAAGGAATTGGCAAAGGAAACCAGAAGTGACCACCTGACAGTTGTAAATGCATTTGAGGTGAGACTGAAATAAATACCTTGTCTCCTTCTGCTTTGTAGCAAGTTATTAATGAAACAGAATAGAAGGCATGTATTTAACTTTTTAATACCCATACTATAGGTATCAGGAAGGAATTGCTGAGAATGCTTAAAATTAGGTGAACATAATTTTTAATTAACTTTCTGTTCTACTAGAGTTCATCTTTACACTTTTTGGAAAAAGTCTTATGCACAAAAAAGTAAGAATAAAAGAGATGATCTTAAGTCTTTCGTCTGTGATACCTTTGTACCTGCCCTTCATGACGGTCTGTTGATTATACTCCTTTTGTCAGCGGTATGGCACTGATAGATTATCATCATCACACACATTTTCTATTAGGAAGGTACTTTCTGTTTCCAGCATAAATATTTGTTGGTTTATAGAGGAAGTATTTAAAAAAAAAAATTGTGTGTTTGTGCCTGTGCACTAGTGGTGCCTATGCCTTCCAGGGGCACTTCCTGAAGCTGGAGTCACAGCAGTAATGGTGGTGCCTGTGCCGGCAAGGGGCAGCTCCTGGAGCTGGAGTCACAGTGGTAATAGTGGTGCCTGTGCCGTCCAGGGGCAGCTCCTGGAGCTGGAGTCACAGCGGTAATGGTGGTGTCTGTGGTGGCCAGGGGCATCTCCTGGAGCTGGAGTCACAGCGGTAATGGTGGTGCCTGTGTTGGACAGGGGCAGCTCCTGGAGCTGGAGTCACAGCGGTAATGGTGGTGCCTGTGCTGGCCAGGGGCAGCTCCTGGAGCTGGAGTCACAGCGGTAATGGTGGTGCCTGTGCTGGCCAGGGGCATCTCCTGGAGCTGGAGTCACAGCGGTAATGGTGGTGTCTGTGGTGGCCAGGGGCATCTCCTGGAGCTGGAGTCACAGCGGTAATGGTGGTGCCTGTGCTGGCCAGGGGCAGCTCCTGGAGCTGGAGTCACAGCGGTAATGGTGGTGCCTGTGCTGGCCAGGGGCAGCTCCTGGAGCTGGAATCACAGTGGTAATGGTGGTGCCTGTGCTGGCCAGGGGCAGCTCCTGGAGCTGGAGTTACATTAATGATTGCCCAATACTGGGAATGAAACTTGGGTCCTCTGTAAGACCAGTGCATGCAATTAACCATGGTGCCATCTCTCTAGCCCTTGGCAGTATCTTTTTAACTGTAACTGTTGGGAGGATAAGTTTATGTTCCTTTAGTTCATAAGCTTGAAAATTCTTTGTTTTTGCATAGAAGGTACAATATCAGTAAAAGTAAAGACAGATGGAAATAACTCAGTGGTCTTGGTATGGGGAGCAGTGTAGACTAATGTCCTCACTTCTTTACCCACAGGGTTGGGAGGAAGCTAGACGTCGTGGTTTCAGATACGAAAAAGACTATTGCTGGGAATATTTTCTGTCCTCTAACACACTGCAGGTAATATTGAAAGATTTACTCTAATTACTATATGTACTAGATAGTGTAGACATTCCATTTTGTCCAGTTGTTGTAAAAAGTTAAGTATATGTAAATACTGAGAGAGGGAGGGAGAGAGAGAGAGAGAGAGAGAGAGAGAGAGAGAGAGAGAATACCTATTAAAAATGCACAGTCATGAGCAGAGTGAAAGTGGTATGGTGCTGTTCAGTTTGGGATAGCATATTTCAACAGACGATGCCTTGGAAACTGTTTCATAGTATGTGATCGCTTAATAAGACTATCCCTGGAGTACAACAGAAAAGAAAATAAGCCAATAAGCGTGAATTTGAAAAAGGCTGCTAGGGCTGGAGACATGGATCAGTGAAGAGCACTGTTACCTTTCTAGAGGACCAGAGTTTGGTTCCCAGCACCCATGTCAGTCACAGCTGCTGGTAACTCCTCATCCAGGGGATCAGACACCCCGGGCCTCCACAAGTACCAGAACCATACCACATGCATAGACACACACACACACATAATTAAAAATAAAAAAGTAAAACACTTACATAGAAAATAAATAGGGATAACGATCTAAGAGACTAAAGCTAATTGAAGACCAAAAGAGTCCCACAGAATAAAATAGACACTCCTGAAAGGCAAATTATTGGCATAAAAGAAAGGTTTTAGGTAACAAATAATATGGATGCTGCTAAAAAACATTAAAGTGATAGAAAGTTTCAGAATAAGACTCATCTGTCAGGACAGGACATAACTACGTAAAAATTGCATGTAATGTAATACTTAGAGAAATAAAACACTATTTTCCTGAAATGTACCAGGATTATGAAAAGATGGCTAAAGCCAGGTTTTGAGGCATCAAGTATGAAGACAAAGGACAAGCATTAAAGAAAACACTCTAGAAGTACTAGTCTGAGGATTTAAAAAAAATATTTTTTCATACAGCAATTGGATCATATTCAGAACCCCTGTACCTCCCCCACCTCCATTACTTCATGTTCTCTTTTTATACTCTTTTTAAAGGCATGTTGAGTCTAATTTATGTTCCCCAAATACCTGCTTCAAACTGGTAATGAAAGCTGTTTCTTGGGGCTGGAAAGATGGTTCAGTGATTAGAAGCACTGGGTGTTCTTGGAGAGGATTCAGGTTCAGTTCCCAGCACCTACATGGTGGCTAATAACCATCCTTAACTCCAGTTCCAGAGACTCTTACGCCCTCTTCTGGCTTCCATGGGCATTACATGACAGGTCTACTTACATGCAAGCAAGACACTCATACCCCCAAAATAAAAATAAGTAAATTAAAAATTTAAAAACCCCAGTTCTCCCTTTCCTGACAGTTATCAGTTGCCAGTAGTTCCTCAGCTGTGAGTAGGACTTTGTGCCCATCTCCCCACTCTATATTGGGATTTTGTCTGGCTTGAGCTTGTATAGGTCTTAAGCATGCTGTCACAAGTATTATGGGTTCAGATGTGTTACTTTCCTGTTGTGTTTTAAATACATGGTTTTCTTGTATTTGTTCCGCAATGATCCCTGAGCCTTGGGAAGAGAGGGTGTGAGATAAGTGTCTCATTTGGGGCTAAACACACTCCAGTCTCTTATTCTGGACATGTTGACCAGTCGTGGGTCTCTGTGTAAATCACCATCACTGTTAGAAGAAACTTGTCTGATGAGAGTTGAGAGATACAATAATCTATAGGTATAAGAAGTCATTAGGAGTCAGTTTAATTCTATGACCATTTAGCAGGATAATAGTAGTAGGTTCTCTTATATACCTGTGACCTTTGTAGCCATAGGCACTTGGTCCTAATACCAGTGCCTATATGGGCTCCATCTTTTGAACAGGCATTAAATCCTATCGTAAAGTGTTGTTGGTTATTCCTGTAACATTTACGCCACTGTTGTGCTAGTAGGCATATCTTGCCAGGACATTCTTGGAGGGAGGAGGCAACCACTGACAATTAAATGTTGCCTTTTAAGACCGGAATCCAAATGAAGGTTTCAGAAATGGAGCATACATGTGGAGTTGATGGTGTGCACTGAAGTTGAAATAACACAAAATATTGCTGGAAGTTATATAAACAGAATAGCATGTAAAGATGATTCCTTTAAAAATTGTAATGGCTATAATGACCTGGAGGTGGTTGAGAGTTGTTTATAAGAATAGATGGGGAAAAGAAGTCAAATATTTTATAAAAGGGACACTTGCATGTAGCCTGCTTTATGTGCCTATAATTTACCTTTTTAAACTTGAAGGAATACCTTAGAAAATAATTTCTTTTGATTATAAAAATGTAGATTCATCTGGCCATTTTCATACCTATGTGACTTCTTTAATTTGAACTAAAATTACATTTTTTTAAAAAAACACCTTTTGTTTTCTGAGACAGTCTTTCTCTATGGCCCAGGCTGATCTGGAACCCTGTTTTCCTGCCCCAGACTCTGGAGTGTTGGAATCACAGACATGTACCACCACGCCTAGCCACAAACAACTTTTATAGTTGTAAGAAACTGATCTCAAGGTGGCCATTGGTGGTTCATGCCTGTAATCCCTAGTAGTCAAGGAGGTAGAGGCTAGAGGATCAGGAATTCAAGGCCAGCCTCAGCTACATGGTGATTTTGAGGTCAGTCTGGGCTATATGAGCTCCTCGTCCAAAACCCAGTAAACAGAAGCAAGAAACAAAACAAAACAAGCTCATTCTTAGGATCTGTTTCTTTCTAATCCTTCTGTTAGTGTGTATGCATAGTACATGTCTACAGTATTGGTTATTTAGTTTAAAATGATTATAAAGATTTTTTGGAGGGACGTTTCTTTCATTGTTGCTTTTCTTCTGTGCTTTATACTGAGCCTTGCATCATTTTTACTTAATTCATACTCTTCTCTTAAGAAAAAACCCTGCTGTGCCACTTCATTAACGAACGGTGCTCAGTCTTGGTAACAGAAATTAGGTATTTGGGAAGTGGTTGTTTTGTTTTGTTTTGTTTTGTTTTTCAACATAGGGAGTAAATGGCCATTTAAAAAATTCGTGGGTCTTGCAGACCAGACTACTTCTTAAAAGTGTTTCCCTTATAATATGTAAACTCTTCTTCTAAAACACCAGAAAATAATTCAGACTTGTAGGCCATGCAAGTTAAAAACATTTGTCTCTGCTACTGCAGTATAAAAGCAACCTTGGGGACTGTTTAAACCAAAGAATATAGTTGTATCCCAGGAAAATTTTATTGAAAAAACATATTGTGTAGTTTGCCGCCCACCTGTTTAAAAGATTATAATTTGGGAGCTAGAGGGATGGCTCAGTAGTTAAGAGCACTTGCTGCTCTGGCAGTGGGCCCAAGTTCTCTTCTGAGCACCCATGTCTGGAGGCCCACAACTGCCTGGAACTCCAGCTTCAAAGGATCTGACACCTCTTCTGGCCTCTGTGAGCACCCCTCAATGTCCCACATGGCATATACTCATACACACACATAATTAAAAATAAATCTTAAAGACTGTCACATTTTTATGCAAGTGCCTTCATAAAGTAGCGAAAGCTAAGAACTGAATTGACTTGAATATGTGCCTTATAGGCCCTGTGCGAGAAAGGTGTTGTAGCTGTGTTGCCATTGCTCCCTAGATGCTGCACAATATGAAGGGGCAGTTTGCTGAGCATCTTCTTGGAGCTGGATTTGTAAGCAGTAGAAGTCCTAAAGATCCAAAGTCAAATATCAATTCAGGTAAAGCCAAAAACATAGCCGTCAATAACTTGCTGTTGCTGTCAATTGTCTCAGTAGTTTACCTTTTTTTCCTCTACCTTCCCCCTCCCAATAGATAATGAGAAGATAATTAAAGCTGTCATCTGTGCTGGTTTATATCCCAAAGTTGCTAAAATCCGACTAAATTTGGGTAAAAAAAGAAAAATGTAAGCATTGAAGATTATTATAAACTACTTGCAATACTTTCCTTAAACTTTGGAAATCCACTAGCACCTCTTTTATGATAAATTTGTTCTTACTCTTTTGGGCTATATTATTTTCAATTTTTAATAATTTGGATGCATGGGAGCTGTTGAACATAGGCATCTGTCCCTACAGCTTTGGAGTCACCTGTCTGATCTCTCATTTACAAAGCATGTTAGTAAACTGTGGTACTTGGGTCAGTGATAGGAAAGCCAGTTGAGCGCAGCCGTGCAAAGCATTGCCAGAGGAAAAGCTGATTAGGGTCTGTTTCAGGATTTTTATCCTCTCCTTATAAAAGAGGATAATTTTACAGCAGATATTTGAATTGTGTAATCTCACTAGTTTGAGAAGTATGGTATATATCCCCTATAGCCTCAGTAGCGATTGGAGAGAACAGTGAGGTATGTTTTTGCCTCATAAATCACTGGTTCTAATGAGGGTACTGAGAAACAAAATATAGTGACTAACTCCATGTATCACTGAATGTACATTTTAATTTGAGAAATCTCTTCTAAGGAAGTTATTGCAAATGCTTCTTAACAGCTGCATTACAAGCAGCATGGCTGATAACAATGGGAAAGTTTGATTTTAAGCAGTCATCATAGTAACATAAAATAGCAGGATTGATGTATTTGGAAATCCACTAGCACCTCTTTTATGATAAATTTGTTCTTACTCTTTTGGGCTATATTATTTTCAATTTTTAATAATTTGGATGCATGGGAGCTGTTGAACATAGGCATCTGTCCCTACAGCTTTGGAGTCACCTGTCTGATCTCTCATTTACAAAGCATGTTAGTAAACTGTGGTACTTGGGTCAGTGATAGGAAAGCCAGTTGAGCGCAGCCGTGCAAAGCATTGCCAGAGGAAAAGCTGATTAGGGTCTGTTTCAGGATTTTTATCCTCTCCTTATAAAAGAGGATAATTTTACAGCAGATATTTGAATTGTGTAATCTCACTAGTTTGAGAAGTATGGTATATATCCCTATAGCCTCAGTAGCGATTGGAGAGAACAGTGAGGTATGTTTTTGCCTCATAAATCACTGGTTCTAATGAGGGTACTGAGAAACAAAATATAGTGACTAACTCCATGTATCACTGAATGTACATTTTAATTTGAGAAATCTCTTCTAAGGAAGTTATTGCAAATGCTTCTTAACAGCTGCATTACAAGCAGCATGGCTGATAACAATGGGAAAGTTTGATTTTAAGCAGTCATCATAGTAACATAAAATAGCAGGATTGATGTAAAGGAAACACTGGGTGACTTGTGATTATAAATATGGAAAATAGATTGAAAGAGACATTGTTGTAGGGCTCTTGATTTTATGTGTATGCATGTATTGCCTGAACGTAGGTAAGTGCACCCGTGTTGTGCAATGCCTGGGGAGGACAGAAGAGGCTGTCGGATCCCCTGGATTCCCTGGAACTGGAGTTACAGACAGTTGTTGGCTGCCATGTGGGTACTGGGATTTGAACCTGGGTCTTCTGCAAGAACAGCCAGTGTTCTTAACTACTGAGCCATCTCTCCAGCCCAAGATTTTATTTTTTAATATCTCCTCATCTTTGACAATTTCATACATATAAACAGTGTATCTTGGTCATATCCACCCCCAATTCTCCTTCCCACTACCCCCAGACCACCCCATGAAGTATTGCCCCTTCATGTACTCTATACACACACCCCCACCCCCACCCCCACTGAGTCCAATGACTTGATCCTGTGTAAGTAACCACAGTGAGTTTATGAATGCAATGCCTATGTCATGTTTAGAAGACAGCATTTCACAGCTTTACTCCCCATCCTCTAACTGTTAGATTCTTTCCACCTCCTCTCTGCAATGTTCCATGAGCCTTGGGGAGGGGATTGATGGAGATGTTCCATTCAGCGCTGAGCTCTCAATAGTCATTATTCTCAGGACTTCGACTAGTTATGAGTCTCTTCAAAAACTGACCACTGCAGAGAGGAGTTTGTCTGGCCACGGTTGAGGATAGCCCTTATCTGTGTGCATAAACAAAAATATTTAGGAGGTCATTTGACAGTGTGTCCATTTAGCAGGACACCAGTAGCAGGTTGCCCCTAGTGCGTAAGACCTCCTAAGCCTTTTTTGACTAAATTTACAGTAGCAGGCATAAATTCTCTCTTGTGGAGCAGGTCTCAAATCCCAGAGAAAGTGGTTGGTTAACGCCGTAATGTCCATGCTGCAGCTGCACCATTAGGCACATCTTCCCAGGCAGATAGATCGATATTGTGGCATGGAAGGTACACCACTGGGTACGTCCACTGTTGATGTTTCTCCTCCAGTAGCCAGCATGGCACCTTCTGGCACTTTGAAAGCCAGCTAGCAGGGAGGAGGTTTTCAGGTCAGTTCCAGCTTGCTTTCTCTGTGTCCTGTCACCAAACTGTGTGGTGTATTCATAATAGGGTCTTGGTGACCAGCCAAGACCAGTAGCAATATTGCTGTTGTGTTGTTTGGGTTCCCCTGGGGCCTCCTGACCAGTGAGTCATAGGGAGATAGCCCAAATCTGACACTGAGATTTTCATTTAATAGCCCGTGTCTTCTGGGGGCGTGGGAGAGCATTTTCCACCCTTGCAGGGGGTACCTATATTCATACTCTTTTTTAAAAATTGTATTTTTTAATTAGTTTACAAAGATGTGGATTCCCTAAGAATTTTTCCATACATTCTTTCTTGTGGTTAACTCCTGCATCACCTCCTCTTCACACCTGGCCTCCTCACCCCCATCCATGCTTAAACCTTTAATCCCCAGTATCTTCCCCCTCTATGTATACATGTTTCATCCCCTCTGTTCCATCCCCACCTTTAAAACCTTTATCTCCCAATGGACCCTTCATCCTGACTTCTACGGACTCTCCAAATTAAGTGCACAAATCTTAAAAATCCAAAAGCAGAATACACATATGCTTTAAATATATACTCAGGAACAATATAGCTTGATCATATTGTTGTGGAGTGCTTCACCAGAGATGAGCACTCAAAGTTTTGCCGAATGAAAGTCGTTACTGACCAGGGCTACTACACGAGGGTGTTGGGAACCCAAGTGTGTAGCCCAGAAGCCATCTCTAGGGTAAGCTTTTATACAGAGGAACCATAACTGGGGGTGAAATTAAGTTTTCAAGGTTACAGGTGGAGAGTCCGTCCCCTTAACAATTTCTGTTCTATTAAGCAATAATTACTATTTTGCAGAACCAAGCCAAGCATAACCTACAGAAGCCATAAATCTGAAGTTGGCCATGGAACTTCATTGTCGCCTTGGTTCTAGACACATACTGTACACACGTGGCATGCATTCCTGTCACTCAGTGCCAAGGAACACTACCTGAAATATCTTGGCTCAGATTCCAGACTATTGTATGTTATGAATTTCAGTGGGTTCACTGTACGTGCATAGTAGGTGCTTCACCAGAAAAGCACACTCAAAGTTTTGCTGAATGAACATCTTTGCTGGTCAGCCACTACACAAGGGTGTGGAAACCCAAGTGTAGCCCTGAGCCGTCCCTAGGGTCAGCTTTTATACAGAGAAACCATAACCAGGGGTGAAAAGTTTAAGTTCTCAAGCTTACAGGTGCAAAGGCCCCTTAACAATTCCTGATCTATTAAGCAACAATTACTATTTTGCAGAACCAAGCCAAGCATAACCTACAGAAGCCATAAATCTGAAGTTGGCAAGTGCACTCTGGGATTTTCTGACCTGTTCCCAAGATAACCGGGGTCCAGCTGACATGTGTTCCCATACCCTAGGCCAACTGCCTGATAATTTTAGAGACTACGGTCAGCCTAAACTTTAACAGGCATAGATATGGTCAGGAAGGTGCCCTGTTACCATATGGGAGTTATGTTTTTAGCACTGACTCAGCACTGACTTCCGTAGTTGCTGTAGCAGTTTACATGCCCACCACCAGTGGATAAGTGATTCCCTTTCCCCACATTTTCATCATTTGTTGTCATTTGTTTATCTTAGCTATTCTGACTGTGGTGAGGGGGGATCTCATAGTAGCTTTAATTTCTGTTTTCCTGCTGTTGATACTTTTTAAAATGCTTATTGGCCATTTTTATTTCTTTTGAGAATTCTATTCAGTTATATAACTAGCAAAACTTTTCTTCCATTCTGTAGTCTGTTTGTCCTCCTGACTAACAGTTTCCTTCACTCTACAGAGCTTTGTAATTGCATGAGATTTCGTTTGTTGATTTTTGACCTTACTTCTGAGTGCTCGCTCAGAGTCCTTTTCAGAAGGTCCTTTCCTGTGCCTATGTCTTGAAGTCTACTACATAATGTTTCTTGTAACAGTGTCACAGTTTTAGGTCTTATAGCAATCTGAAGCCATTTGGAATTGATGTGTGTGAGTTGATGTCTGTGAAGAGTGAGAGATAAAGGATTGAGATTTATTATTCTTCATGTAGATACCCAGTTTTCCTAGCACCATAATGTGGAAATGCTCTTTTTCTCCAATGTGTATTGTGTCATCGTTGAAAACGACCTTACACTGGGTCCTCTTTTTTTACTGCATTGGCTTACATTTTTCTTTTTTGTGCTAGTACCATGCTGTTTTGATTACTATAGCTCTGCAGTATAACCTGAATTAGGTATGTGGATACTTCCTCCACTGTTCTTTTTGCTCAAGATTGCTTTCGCTGAGATCTTTTGTGCTTCTTTATGGATTGTAAGATTGCTTTTCTATTTCTGTGAAGAATGTTACTAGAAATTTGATTGGGATTGCATTAAATTTATAGACTGCTTTTGGTAAGATTGACCTTTTTTTTCAAATATTTTTTAAATTTATTATTTTTATTTTATGTGTATGCATGTATTGCCTGCATGTAGGTAAGTGCACTGTGGCGTGCAATACCCATGGAGGTCAGAAGAGGCTGTTGGATCCCCTGGAACTGGAGTTATAGAACTGGAGTTAGCTGCCATGTGGGTGCTGGGATTCAAACCCAGGTCTTCTGCAAGAACAACCAGTGTTCTTAACCGCTGAGCCATCTCTCCAGCCCCAAGATTGACATTTTTACAATATTTCTTCCAGTCCATGCACATGAGAGGTGTTTTCATCTTCTAGCATCGTCCTCAGTTTCTCAATGTTTTAAAGCTTTCACTGCAGAGTTCTTTCCTGCCTTGATTAGATTTTATGTGTCTGAGAGTTTTTCCTGAACGTATGTAAAAACATACATGTTGCACAGTGCCCGCAGAGAGAAGAGGGTGTCGAGTCCCTGGAACTGGAGTCACGGATGGTTGTTAGCCATCTTGTGGGTGCTGGGAACCGAACCTGGCTCCTCTAAGAGCAATCAGTGCTCTCACCTGATGAGCCATCTCTTCAGCCCTGAGATCTGATTTCTCAATGTAGGCATTCAGAATCGTAAACGTCCATCTTAGGACTGTTTTCTTTATCCCATAAAGTTTGGTACATTGTGGTTTCATTTTTATTTAGTTCTAGGAGTGCTTTTATTTCTTGATTTCTTCAGGGACCAGTTCATTTATGGGTCATTTCATCTCCATGTGTTTGTACATGCTTTAGTGTTTCTTTTGCTGTTGATTTTAGTCTTGTTCCATTTTGATCGGACAGAATACAAGGAATTATTTCAATTTTCCTGTTTTATTAAGACTTGCTTTGTGTCCTCATATATGATCTATGTTAGAGAAAGTTTCATGGGCTGCTGAGAAAAATGTATGTTCTGCATTGTTTCTATAGAAGTTCTGTAGATGCCTGCTAAGTCTATTTATCTGTAATGTCATTTGATTCATGTATTTGTTTTTTGTTTTGATGTCTTGTCAGTTGATGAAAGTGGGGTATTGAAGTCAACTGTAACTGTTGTTCTAGGGCTAAATTTGTGGCTTTATATCTAATAGTATTTGTTTTATGAAATTGGATGCACCTGTTTGGGGCATATATGTATAGAATAGTAATGTCCTCTTCATGAATTATTCTCCTAACCAGTTTCAAGTGACCATTTTTATCTTTTCTCACTAGTTTTAGATCAAAGTCTGTTTTGTCCTGTGTTAGAACAGCAAACACATGATTGTTTCTTAGGTCCATTTCATCCTAAGATGGTGTCTGATATTTGTGGTAAAATGTGTTTCTTGGAGAAAAGAAATACATTGTTTCCTGCTCTTTGATCCAGTCTTCTAGTCTTTTGATTAGGAGAATTGAGATTGCTCATATTTACAGATATTATTGAAAGCTGTGCATCGATTTTTTGCTATTTTGTTGATTTTGTAGTGTTTGGGTTTCTTCTTCTTTGGTTTACTATCATTCTAGGGTATCATTCTTCCTCTGGCCTCATGAATAGTTTTGTTTTTCCCTTCCGTCTGAAGATGTCCTCTAAGTGTCTTGTGTAGGGCTGGCTTAGTGGTCATAAATTTCTTCGGTCATTTTTATCACAGAAAGGCTTATTTTCCTTCAGTTATGACAGATCATTTTGCTGAGTATAGTATAGTCTGGGTGGGCAGTTTTTGTCTTCTACAACTTGAAATACATCATTTCAAGCCTTTTTAGCTTTTTAAAATTTCAGTTGAGTAATCTGGTGTTCTGATGGGCCTTCCTTTATATGTGACTTGGTGTTCCTCTCTTACCACTTTGAATATGCTTTTCTTTGTATGTTCAGTGTTTTAATTCTAATATTACATAGGGAGGTTCTCTTCTGATCTTGTTTGTTTGGTATGCTAAATGCCTCCTCTCTCTAGATTGACATCCCTTTTTCTAGCATTAGAAAATTTTGTTAGGTGCTTTTGAAACTGTTCCCTGTGCCTTTAGAATGAAAGTCTCCTCTGCCTGTAAGCTGTGGATTTGACCTTTACAGGATGTCACATGTGTCTTGGAATTCGCCTTGTGTTTCCTCATTGATTTGTCTTTGTCTTTGATTATTCCAGTTCCTCTCCTTTCTCTTCAAGCTGAGCTAGTCTGTCTTCTCCTTGACCCATTCTATTGCTGAGACTACAGAATTTTTTTATTTTCTTAGTGTACTTTTTATTTGCAGCAATTTTCAGATCCATTTTTCTTTAGTATTTCCATCTCTTGCTGAATTCCTCTTTTATATCCATTGCTCTCTTTATTTTGTTCAGCTGTTTATATATTTGAACTTACAGTAGCTGTTGATTTTCCTGTCTGGGATTTTACCCTTGCATGTAGGGTTAATAATTTGAGAAGAGTTCTGTTCTCTTGGTTCTCCGTGTCTCCTGTTAATGCATTGAGACATATATGGTGCTATTTCTTTCATTGTTACTATTTTTTATCAGCTAAATATCCAGTTGAACTATTTGGAATGTTCAAATGGGACTTAGATGTGGTAGCATTGAGTGTGTAGTTCAGAAAATAATGCCTCAGACCAGGAACTGCAGGTGCCTGCTGTCAGCTCTGTATTTCTCTGAGTAGGGGAGTAGCTGGGAGAGCAACCACAGCTGTTGGATGTAACGACCATGCAGTTGTCGCACTAGTCAGTGACGATGGGTCCTTTGACTTCAGTACCTGTGAAACACAACCTAGGATAGTATGGCGCACACTTGGATTTGACTAATAGATTAGGAGGACTTTGGAAAGAAGGCAAAAATCAAGGTGGTGAAGTAGCTAGGAGGGGAAGTTGGGGTACTGTCAGGTCCACAGATTTTAGAGATCGCCAAAGCTCTGGAAAGTTGTAATTAAGCAGTAAAAAGAGGAGGGGTAAGGATGACAGACAGGAGGACAGACATAGGAGTAAGAGGGCCAGAATATGAGATGTGGCTGCAGAGCGTAGTGAAGGCAGATGGGAGGAGACAGACCACAGTCCTAACCCTAGCAGCTGTATACCAACAAAAGCAAAGCCATCATGACATGTGTCTGCAGTAGTAGAAATCAATTGTACATAAAGAGATACAGAGAACACTTCTGGAATGGATTGCTGGCACAGCTGTACTGAGCAAAGGTAAAGTTTGAGGATCCTTCTGGTGCTGTGTGCTGGACAGGCCTGGGAGCCTCGGGTCTCTGCAACCTCCATGTTCATGGGCATCTGGCATGTTGGGGAGGGGAGGTTGTAAGTCCTTCCCTGGTAGTTCCTAGGGTTTCTGCACTCACAGGGGCCTTTCCTGGGCCTGTAGGTTGTTGTATGTGAGGGGCAGCACTTCGTTTACTCATAAAACCTTTTTTTGGGCTAGGAGAATCCTTTGCTCGATTTTTGTATCAAATTTTGCAGGTAATTTAACAGTAAGACTTTAAAATACAAACATTTCTTTCCCTCTGTCCTGGAAGAGCTTTATGAAAAGTTTTTTTTTTAATTACTGTATTTGTTAAACTAGGAGGTACCAAATTTTGGCTTATAGGCCCCTATCTTTTTGTATCGACTTGTTTCTGTGTTGTCTGTCTGCTGTCGTCCTATACTCACAGAGTTGGGTGTTATGACAGACCGTAGGACCCCCGCATCCTAATGCATTCTGATTCAATCTGCCAGCTCCTGTTGTAGCGGTAGAGGAGTATAGGATGGCATTGCTTAAATGGACTATGAGAAAACAAGTTCTGGTTTTATTCTGAATAGTGAATCCTAACTGACTGACTTTGGTGTATTATGAATTCATAGAACCTTAAAAAGACTCTGGAGACAACTGAGAAGGGTTTACAGATTGTTATGTTTGTGTAGTATGTGAATTTACCATTATTTAAAATGAATCATCAGACATCTCTCTGTTGTCTGATACTAAAGATTCTTGCAAACTTGACTTACAAAGTGACTGTTAAAGAAAAAGACCATTAATGGCCTGAACTGTGCCAAAATAAATTCAAACCATGCCTATTTTGAAATTGAGGAATCTCAGTTAATGTGGGGCCACTTAAAAGTTCTTTTAATTTCATTGGTATCCATCGTAAAATAGGTTCTAAATCCATTTTAGCAAAAAGTCAGTTTTCAACAAACTTCCTTTTTTGGGGGGTGGGGGTTCTTTTCCAGACAGGGTCTCCCTGTAGACCAGGCTTGTCTTGAACTCACAGAGATCTGCCTGCCTCTGCCTCCCGAGTGCTGGGATCAAAGGCGTGTGCAATCACACCCAGCTTCAAAATTCTTAACTTTTTATTTTATGTTCAACTGGGCACAGAATTGACCAGTGAAAATTTTCATTTGATTTATTTCAGTTTCTCTGTAAATGGTTAATCATTGTTGTGATGGTCATAGTCAAACCTCAAGACTTTCCTCTTAGTCTAAATTCCTTACTAATCATTTCAGTATTTACCCTTCAGTGGTATAGTGGATACCAACATAGTCACAGAGTAGTCTGTCACCTTCCTAACGTGTTAAATAAGCATAACTAAGATTCCAGTTATGCTTTAGAATATTCATATTCATTTGATACTTTTTCACATCCTTAAGAAAATTCTACTTGCCTCTAATATCAATTTATATGTTGCCAACATACTAAATTCACCCGTGCTTATTTTTGTTTATTTTGGTTGTTTTTTAAAGATTCTGGGGTTTGATTTTTACTACGCTATTAGCGTAGTAGGAGGTAAGCCTCATAGGAAACTTGTTTTTAATGAACTGTATTTTAACTTCTTTGAAGGGTGAAAGTGCACACGAAGTCCGATGGTCTGGTTGCTATTCATCCTAAGTCAGTCAATGTGGAGCAGACGGATTTCCATCACAACTGGCTCATCTATCACCTGAAGATGAGAACAAGCAGTGTGAGTGACTGTTGTCAGCCTCTGCTTCTGTGCTGCTTCTTAAAATTAGACTTTTTTTCTCTGACAAATTCTTTTTTCTATAAGCAGATTTCATGCTTTTAACTAACCTTTCAGGATGAGTGTAGTCTCATGAACTAGGTCAGTTATTTGATTGTTGTGATTTTCTTTGAGAGCCTACTTTCAAGAAATGCTATCAGGAGCTTGCATAGTGTAAAGAATTTGTGGGCATGACAGTATACAGACTATCAAGCAGGATTCTGGTTTTTGTATGTTGCATATATAGCTAAAAATAATTTCAGCCTCGTTGGTGTTTTGATTTTGACACTCAAAATATTTTGATCAAAGAAAATCATATATTTTAGAACAAAAAAGTAAAAATCTCTAGGAATTAAGAATAGTTTACTCTAAATGGTATTTCTTCAAAATTAATCTTCATAATGACACTAGCAAGTTAGTACCTGTTTTAGAACACAGCTGGTTGGTGCTGTATTGGATTGACTGGTAATGATCAGTCTGTATTCCTTAATTCACTGCTGACTTACCTCTCTTTGCAGATATACTTGTATGACTGTACAGAAGTTTCCCCATACTGTCTTTTGTTCTTTGGGGGTGATATTTCCATCCAGAAGGATAATGATCAGGAAACTATTGCTGTAGATGAATGGATTGTGTTTCAGTCTCCAGCAAGAATTGCCCATCTTGTTAAGGTAATGGATCTTACATGCTTGTCTTTAAGTCAGCATGCAATTGAATATGTGGTCTTGTGGTTATGCATTAACTATTTCTTGGACTATGAGATGGCTCACTAGGTAAATGGACTTGGCTGACAGGCCTGACAACCTGATGACCAGAGTTCAGTCCTTGGAACCCACATGGAAAGGGAAAACTGATTTATTTTTTTTTTAAACAACTTGTTCTATGACCGCCACATGCACTCCATGGCACACGTGCTCACTCTCCTCCACAAGATAAATAAATAAATGTAATTTCAACAGAGCAGGTAGTATTGTCCAATTAATTTTAGTTTTCCAAATTATTTTTGAGGTACCAGTAGACAATTCTAAATGGCTTAAATGATTAAAATTTGAATCTTTTAAGTACACTTTTAGTTGGTTGCTCTGTAAATATTTCATTTTCTGTGTAATAGGTTTTGAAAAAGCCTTGTTAACACAAAAGTTGCCTTTTACGTTGTTGATGGTACATCTGCCCTTGATGAACATGTATGCTTTCTTCAACCTTAGGAGTTAAGAAAGGAACTGGATATCCTTCTGCAGGAGAAGATTGAACGCCCTCACCCTGTAGACTGGAAGGACACTAAGTCCAGAGACTGTGCAGTGCTGTCGGCTATTCTAGACTTGATCAGAACACAGGAAAAGGCAGCTCCGAGGGACTTGCCACCCCGAGTACAGGGTGCGTATTACAGCCGACGGCTTCCTGTGTCGGTCTAAAAGCCACTTTGGAATCCATTTTCTTCTCTCTTTTTGGCAAAATGCCAGACCCTGGGTTATAACTCGATTGTGTGTGTAAGATAGAAACCTACAGTGGGTAGTAAAGAGTTAATGTGCATGACTAGATGGTGTTATCTGTAGTTATTGTAAAGATACCGTAAAAAATACGCTCTTTGATCATAAGACTCTATTGTACATATGTCCACACCTTGAGGGTATTCCTGTTATATATCCTGGGTGTTGAACCTTGAGAAAGCCCTTTGTGCCATTATGCAAAATGAATTTTCTGCCCATGACTGTCTAGAGCCAGTAAAAATAGAATGCTTGGCCAAAGAGCATTGTGAAGTAAGAATCTGAATACAACCACATTTTTTAAAATGAACTTCAATTAAAAGTAAATTTGTTGTAATAAAGCCTGGTATTTAATAAAATGTACAAACGTGTAAATCTCAGCTAACTTCTTGGCTGGTTTCTGTAGCTCTACCTATCACTTGGCTTATTTGATTTCCTTTTTCTCATTGCCCCGGTATAGCCTGATATAGCAACTGAGCATGTGAGTCTGGAGGTTGATGAGCAGAGTTCCATTCTCAGCTCAGTCACTTGCTAGAGGTCTGTTTTCTTTTTCTTTCTGAAACACAGGTAAACATTGTGAGGATTAAATACGGTAATAGCTGTAAAGTACCACATACATCTAGTTCTCGCTAAATCTTTACTATTTGTCCATGAAATGTTTTTAACATTCAATAATCTGTTGTAATACGTGTGTGTGTGTGTGTGTGTGTGTGTGTGCGCGCACTGAGGGTGCTGGGGGTGTTGCACGTAGGATCTCACATGTTTTTTTTATTCAATAATCTGTTGTAATACGTGTGTGTGTGTGTGTGTGTGTGTGTGTGTGTGCACGCACTGAGGATGCTGGGGATGTTGAACGTAGGACCTCACATGTTCTTGACAAGTACTGTGCCAGTGAGCCACATCCCCCTGTAATACACTGGTTTTTGATGCATCTTTACACTCGGAGTCAGTGGAAGCTGGTGTGACTGAACATGCAGTTTTCAGCCCTGTTAGATTGTGACGGTGTTGGTTGCTTTCCATGAACTGTTTCATCATTTCATTCTTGTTTTTTTTGTGTGTGTGTCCCTACCTCTGGAGCTCTGTGTTTAAGGATGTTGGGTCAGTGGTTTCTCTAAGCTCATTGTGTGTACTCTTGCTTCCTTTGTAAGGAGTGAGTGATGACCACGGTGTGTTAATGCTGCAGTGGATTTGCTAACGGCACTGGTTCACCTCTCTTCATTTGAGTGTATGTTACCTGCCATTGCCTATAAGGATCTGTATACTATGTCCTAAGTCTGTTCTTTGGGTCATCTCCCAGAATTCTCTCTCACTGAACTCTTGCATTCAGTCATGTCACAGGTTGTAGCATGTTGTTTTTTTTTTAATTTTTTTTATCTTGTATTTGGAAATAATTTCCAATACCAATGGAAGAACTGTTTCTGAAGAATTGTCGAAAAGCTGTTCACAGAGATCAACACAGTTACTGTTTCATCCTGTTGACATACGTCTGCTTGATTGAATTAAAGGTGCTGCTTAGCTTCTGTTTCTCCTGTTTATAGAACTAGGGGACTTCTATGTGGAAAATTTCTAAACCTAAAAATTACTTGTTCTGTAGTGGTCTTTTTTTGTTTGTTTGTTTGAGACAGGGTCTCCCTGTAGCCCCAGCTGTCCTGAAACTCACTATGTAGACCAGGCTGGCCTTGAACTCACAGAGATCTGCCTGCCTCTGTCTCCTGAGTGTTGGGATTAAAGGTGTGCGCCACGACTGGCCTTGTGGTGACTTTTTTTTTTTTTTTTTTTAAGTAGGGTATCAAGGAAAATTTGTTTTGTTTGACTTAACAGTCTGAACAATTCAGAGAATAACTTGGGGGGGGGCTTATGGGAGAAAATAAAATATACCACTAAATAATGTTTTTAAAAGCATGTTACATGTATTCGATGCCTTCCCAATTAATTTAGGAATATACTATAGACTGTTTGAAACCAATTAATGCAAGTTCTATTTTTGCTGCATTTGTAGAAGTTCACTGTGAAAGTCATTACAGAGAACCTTTATGTCCAAACCTGTGCTCCCAGAACAAAGTCAGTGATGCTATATTCCCTTCTGCTCATAGTCTGAGCTTCTATTTATTTTTAATAACTGTGATCATGCTATATATCCATATATTTGTAAGAACACTGTTTGTTAAATGGCATTTTCTGTTTTTAAAACATCTTCATTGGAGAATGTGTAGAAATTAAACCTATAATGTAAGTTATACATTTTGATATATTTCCATGCCTTTTTTTAAGTGTTAAGGTATTATTTCATAGTTCTGTTAACCAGTTTGAGTATAATTTAGTATATTTTGTCAGTTGTATAAAGCTAGCTGTAGCTATCACCACCCCACCACAATTTGATTGAGAACATTTCTATCACCTGGAAATTTCCCTTGTTGCTTTGGTGGCAAAATCTCCCTTTCCCCTGCTTCTGTCCTCTGGCACCTATTGATCCGCTTTTCATCACTAGCTTTGCTTTCTCTAGGACTTCCAAGAACTGGAATCATAGTCTGTGGCCAGCCTCTTTCACTTAATGTAAGGCTTTGAGAGAACTCATACATTGCACATACTGGGTTTTTGTTCAGCATTTCATTATATGATAATGTTAATCCATTTATCAGTTGATGGACATTTCACTTATTTTTAGCATTTCTGCTATTAATGAATAAAGCTGCTCTAGACTTGTGTACAACTTGTGTGCTTCCATGTTTCTTACTTCTCTTGGCAAGTAAGATTACTCTGTCGTAAGGTAAAGTGTGTGTTAAGAAACTGCCAGATGGTAACGTTTTTCTACCATTTTTGCATTCCCCAAAGAATTGTGTGTGGGGTCCAGATGTTTCATGTCCTTGTCAGAATGTGGTCTTTTCAGTGGGTTTTTGATTTTTAACCTTCAGTTTAAGTGTTCTGTTTCATTTTGGTTTTTATCTTCAGTGATTAGTAATGAATTTCTTTCCGTGTGCCTGGTTGCTCCTTTGTTAGCTGTCTTCTACACATAGGTTTTTGATTTCCCACTTCATGTTAAATGATGGGCTTAAAACTACCTAGGGAGGTATGGGTGCCGTGAGTGCTTGGCTTCTCGGAAGTGGTCAGATGTGCTGCTCTTCAGTTGGCTGCTGCAGTGCACTTGAAATCAAGTGCCAGGAGAGAACAGCACCAATTTTAGGTAGCCATGATGGCAAAGAGGTTGCAAATTCACCATGACCTGAAGGATGGGACATGAGAAAAAAACGTGGTGCTGAGAAAGCCCTGAGAGAAACTGATTTGCAAGCAGTGGGGAACCAGTCTGCCTTGTAGGTGGACCCCAGCCATCCTGCCAAGTGAGAAAAGCTGGCTGTCAGATTCTGACTGCCTTCTAGTCCCTAAATTTGACCTGTGTCTGATAGGAATGTTCCACAAAGTGCTTCAAGATGACAGATAAGTGGTGCATTTCGGAATCTGTTTTATTCAACAAAGACAAGTGTGAGCAGGAGTAAGAGTCACTATAGCAGAGCTTAGTCACATAGTTTTCTCTCCACAGGCATTCATCCTGTATTGTTTGTCCTTGAATAACCCAGTGAAGAGCCTCATGAGTAACACTTCCATGTGGGGTTTTTTTGTTTGTGTTTTCTGAGGGCGGGAGGTTGGCACCATCTACAGTAATTTGCGAAAAATTGCACACTATTATATAGACTAGAAATACTGAAAAGTTTAATTTTTAAAAGAATGTTGGTATTGCACAAAATAGGCATTGATAACTACCAAAATATACAAACCTATTATAAAAGCTAAAATTAAGCTGGGTGTGGTGGTGCATGCCTTTAATCCCACCACTCAGGAGGCAGAGGCAGCCTTATCTACATAGGGAGTTACATAGTGAGTTCCAGGCCAGCTGGGGTTACAGGGAGACCCTGTCTCAAAAAGACAAATAAGAAAATACCCCCAAAACAAACCACTAAAATTTACAAAACCTAAACAGACCATGTGTGGTGCTGGAGTACAGAGAAATATAAATGTGAAGGTGTGGTACATTAAATCTAAAACTAGTAGGACTGCACTGGTACAGAACACCATACTACAGGAATCTAGTGGCCAGTTCTGGTTGCTTTTGTGATGGTTCTGCTTCAACAGTCCTTTTAAAGCTTGATGCTGATCATGTCCACATCAGTGGGCAGGCTCTCCAGTAAACTGTCTTCACAGTAAAAGGTGCTGGTGAAGGCTGGGCATGTAGCTCAGTGGATCCCTTGTACCAGAAAGAATAGAAAAAAAAGCTATTCATAGTCCTTGTGTTTTCACCGTATATGACACAATAGGAAGTAGGTACTGTTTCATTACTTGTAGTTCTGGGAAGCCAACTTTGTTCCCATTAATTTATAAGACAAAGATGGAATGAACTTGCTTTTAATGGCCACGTCCAGTGAGATGTGTGAAATTTAGCACAATTTAGGTACATTTACCTCTCTGCTTTATAATTTACAATTTCACCTTGAGCCATCATCTAACCTGATTTTGGTGTGATGCCTGTTAGGCTGACCAGACTCCAGGGATAGACCCACACCCAAGAGTATTTGGAGAACACAGACTCAGCAGGCATTTTTAAAAAATGAAGAGAAATAAAAATAGAGAGGACATGAAGTTTGGAGGTGGAGGAGGGGTCTGAATGTGATCAAAGTACCTTGTATGGAATTCTCGAAGAATCAATAAAATGTTTTTAAGCCCCAAAATAGTCTGTAATTGTCATTTACCCAATGTTTTCCCATTCTGGATTTCCTTCTGTTATAGTTTGCTTTATTTAAAAAACTTGTTCTTTTTAATTATAACACTTGTTTATTGGAGCAGTTGTAGATTTATAGAAAACTTGAACTCACAGAGATCAGCCAGCCTCCGCCTCCTGAGTGCTGGGATTAATGGCCTGGTGTACACCATAAATTCCAGGCCAGCTGGGGCTACAGGGAGACCCTGTCTCAAAATGACCATAGTTTCCATATACACCCCCACAACACATGCGCGCATACTTACCCTGTTGGCATCGTGCATTATGGAGTGTATTGATGCATTACTGTAAACCACAGTCCACAGTTCAAGCTGCTGCTGCTTTGCATGTGTTTGGAACAGGTGTATAATGCGTTCCTTTGCCATGGTGTAGTTTTCCCTGTGCGTCCAGTTCCTCCCAGTCCTTGGCAGCTCCTGTCAGGATGCTTTGCCTTTCCCGGAATGTCAGGTAGGTAGAGTCGCCTTTTGCATAGCCGTGTGCTCTGCAAGTTTCTTACTCTCTTATCATGGCCTGGTGGGTACACAGCTATCCATTCGCTTACTGAAGGACTTCTTGGTTGCCTCCAAGTTTGGGTGATTATATAAAAAGCTGCTATATTTTTGGCCTTTGGAACATTATGTTACTATGAGGCCCATGGACATTTGGGCTTTTAGCCAAGAAACGGGCTACTTTTCTTTGGGGTCTTTTTACCCTAACTGCCTAGCCAATTCCTACCTCCTATTCTTATCACTCCATCCTCTGAAGGGGTTACCCAAATTGCCAATAAGGAATAGGGATGCAGACTGCTCTGGCTTCTTCCATGCTGAACAGGGATTCAGGGTGAGGCCATTTGGGTACCCACCCCTTCAGTGGGTCTAAGACTCCCAAATTGTATAACTTATCTGTAGGAGAAAAGAATGTCCTTGACTGGTCAGAAGTATTTGGGAGCTCTCATCTAATCCCTAAAAGATTTTAGGGTTACCTCTTCAGAGGAGGGAATGAACAAAAAGCCCCATTTAAAAAAAAAAAAAATACATGAAGTTGTCAGAAAAAAGTGGTGGGGAGATATGGGAGGATTTAGAGGGGAGGGAGTGGGCATGGATTTGATCCAAACACCTTATATGCATGTATGAAAATCTCAAAGTTTTTTTAAAAGTTAAAAAAGCTGCTATAAACATGTATTTTTTGTGTGAGCACACGTTTTCAACTCATTTGGCTAAAATCAAGATCTTTAACTGCTGGATCATATGTGTGTTGAGTTTTGTCAGAATCTGCCAAACTACCTTCCCAAGGAGCTTTTGCTTTTTACCTTTTGTTTCAGTGTGCTTGAAGGTATCTCGTTAGTGCATTGATCTGACTTGTGGAGAGTCGTCTTTGTGAGCTATCTAAATCTTTGTCATTTTTTAAAATTGAGATGATTTCTGATTTTTAAGAATTTGTACATTTTGGATGACTACCCATTATCAATGACTTGCTTACAGCCTTCCCTACTATGTGGCTTGTTTTGTTTTGTTTGAGACAAGGTCTCCTTATAGCACCAGCTGGCCTGGAACTTGCTATGTAGACAAGGCTGGCCTTGATCTCAATAGAGATCTGCCTGCCTCTGCATCTCAAGTGCTGAGATTAAATGTATGTGCACCATGCCCAGCTTCTCTCTGGTTTTTAAATAAAGTTCAAGGTCACCTAAATATTTTTGTTATCTAAAATTTTATAGCTGCATTTTATTTACAATTGTTAGTTTCCAAGTATTTATCAGTTTCTAAGTCTTTAATTTTGTATTTACTGCAGATCTTAGTTAAATGTTCTGGTGTAGATGAAGCTGATTCTAACCTACATACTCATTCTGTATAACGTCAGTCCTTTAAGATTTGTCTAAAACTGGGGCTGGAGAGATGGCTCGGCAGTTAAGAACACTGACTGTTCTTGCAGAAGACCCAGGTTCAAATCCCAGCACCCACATGGCAGCTAACAACTGTCCATAACTCCAGTTCCAGGGGATCCAACAGCCTCTTCTGTCCTCCGTGGGCATTGCGTGCATTTACCTACAAGTAGGCAATACACGCACACACACAAAATGAAAATAATAAAATACTTTTTAAAAATCTATAAAAAGATTTGTCTAAACCTGCCTGTGGTTCAGGAAATAGCTATAAATGTATACGTGAAAAGAAAGCATATGCTGACATTTGTTGCAGGGTCCTATATATGTCTATTATGTTCAATTACTGTCGTTACATTTATACTTAATGGGTCCTTTTCTAATGAAATGCTGATATATGCTGATATAATTCATGCTCTGATGCTGGATTTCTATTCTATCTCTATTCCACAATTGTGGATTCATGTATTTTGAGACAATATTATTAGAATATATGTTTAGAATTACTATATCTTCTTGATTAAATGCAATACTTATCAGTATGTGGGCTCTATCTTTACACCTACTTGGATCTTTTAAAAGATCATTGTTATCTAATACTGGTACAGCTACACTTGTGACTGCCACCATGTTCTGCCTTGAAGGTTTATTCCTGTAGGTCGTGGGAGTATTTATCAGTTGACTTCCTTCATCTCTCTGCCTCTGCAGGAATTGTCCTCAGCTGGAGGGATCCCCTTCGCCCAAGATCATTCTCCCTTCCTAGGGACAGCCTGCATCCAAGACTGGTCAGAACAGGCTTGTCCTTGTCCACATTCATCCCCTTTGCCATTGTCCCTGTCTGTCCCTTCCACAGGGCTCCAGTTAAGTCCTTGTATCTCCACGGCTCTGGTCTCCATTTCTTTCGGTTTATTCAGTTTCACTAGGATCTTGTTTTAACTGTTAATCAGATGGTAAACTCAGACTATGTCATTTTCTATTTGTTTTTGTTTCTGCTCTTAAACTACTTTGTTATTAGATCTATACTGCATTTTAAAGTGCTCTCTACAAACATAGCAATTTGCAATACTGTTGGATCTGCTGACTTCATCTAAAGTCTCTGGGTTGGTTATTTCTGTGATGCAATGCCATGTCTCCAAGTGACAGCTAAACCTTTGATTAATTAGACATAACTGAATGCAGGTGATGCTTGTTTGCACCCGTGAGGTTTTCTTCTGCTAGGACTTAAATATTAGACCCCAGTGAGCAAAGGTTTAGGTCTTTCAGACCCATGGTCCCACTCCAGGGTAAATCCTTTGGGGACTCCATCCACAAAGGTTACTATGGTACGTAATTACACTCTGACCTGCATTCTTAAACTGCTAGTCCAAGTGGCTTGCAGGGCTGCATCACAAGGCCCTGGGGAATGGAGCAGAGGGGAGTCATTCTCCTTCTAGAGACTGGATGGCACTCCCATGCTTTCGTCTTCCAGCACAAGCTTAAGTAGAAGGTCATCAAAGGTGCTTTAGATTGCTGTTTGCTGTCTCACATGATGTACTTGGATAACTTTATGTTACAGAGCGAAGGAATTTTATAGACCTAAGGATGAAATTGGTTAATTCTGAAATACGGTTAAGTGAATTTTCAAAAAAAAAAGAATCGGTTAACATGAGCCTAACTTAATCATGAGTCTTTAAAGGAGCGTTTCCTCCCTCCAGTGGCATAAACAGGGGCGTAAAGTTCCAAATGTAAGGAATAAACATTGCATGGCTGTCATGAAGATGAAGGAGAATGCCATGGTGCAGCCTTGTGAAACTAAGCACTCTGTCAGCCATGCCACCCTGGACCACTGACTTCACAAGTGTGACATTCAAACAGACAACTTAAATGAGTTGCAGCCAGTCACTGAGTTTGTGGCAATTTGTTATGCAGAAATAGAAAACAAATATAGAGAGATCCGGTTTTTTCCTTCCTCCAAGATGAACAGGGTGATAATTTCATAAGCACAGATGTCTGATTGCTAATTATACATATTAAGATATGCTCCAGGGGACAAACAGCAACAGAACTGGTATTCTCGAATTTACTCTATTCAGTCCTACATATTTTGTCAAACATGAGAGAGAAAAAGTACGACCCAAGTCTCAAAATTGCTCCAGTTTCCTATAAGTTAGCCATCGCTAGCTTTTGAGTATAACTAATTTAACTACAAATTCCCCCAAACCATAAACATAACACTTGGAGTAAATTAAGTCATACCAACACAGAAAGATAAGTATATACAATATTTTTATAAATTCACAAATTTTGTTGAAAGTGTACAAGAGCCTCAATTTATTCGAACAAAAATAACATTTCTGTTTTGCACAAGTGAAATCACTACAATTCAGAGAAGGCAGTAAAAAAAAAAAGCTAGGTTTTAAAAAATACTGTGCCATGTTAACAATTCACAGTGGAAATGAAACACTGTGAATGTGTTAAATACCTGCTGTATTGTGATTATTTAAACAGTATTATTCTGTTTCCTAATAAGGCTTTGATTTATGAGATGCACATATATCTAAACTGTTGAACACTTATAAATTAATTCACAGGATTCATAGTTACTTTCTAGCTCCAAGTGGGTATTAGCAAAAATATTGATTCCTCTTGCAAGCAGCGTGTTTACTTTCCTTCCTAAATAAAACATGGCATTAGATTAAATTACACCTTGTTAGCCTTTCCTCTAAAAAGCCTGTGACATGACTGAAGAGGAGACAGATTTCCCATTTTAGTCTTGGGACATCTCTTGTTGTGGGTCACTGCTATTGCTTCATTCGAATACTTACTCATACCTCAAAGAACTCAAGGCCTGGAATGTCTTTTGCAAGGAGAATACATGCACAGGTGAAAGGAAAATAACCCAAAGGTGAGAAGCCCTCAGGATCCCTGGCTTTGCACTGAGGTGGAAGGAGGCAGAGGGGAAAACCAAGAACACTTAGTGCTGGGCTTCTGGAACCTTATGGTTTGGGTGCTGCTTGGCAGACAGGAGCATGGCACAGAGACCCGACCCTCTGAGAATGTGTATTTTAGATTTTATCTGGAAGAGAATGGAGAAGGGTTACAGCGGCCAATAATTGTTCCCCCCAGTCTTCAAAGCCTTCACTACCTTTTAATGAATTCCATTAAACTTTTTTTTTTTTTTTTTGTAGAATAATAATCTTATGTAGGAACTCACAGTTAAGACCCAGTGATCAGGGCCTTTAGTGCCACCAGAATGGAGTCCTATTAAGGTCAAAATATTTCGAGCAGCTACCATGTTGGTGTCTTGATACCACCTTGGTCCCATTTAACTTAATTTTCTCTTCCTTGAGATTGTTAGAAAAAGTCAGGAAGCACGACTTGAAGGCAAAGCAACTCACGTCAGCTTTTATCAGTTGACCCATATCCTGTGTTCAGGGAGGTCTCACATGCGGACTATCTACATCCTGTGTACTTTTAAGTAGCTGAGGTTTTTTAGGCTATAGTTAGAGAAGACCAATGAATAAGATGGATTTTTTAAAACCCTAAATGGAAGGCTCATCACTTTCCTTCTAATGAAGAAAGTGGTGCCAAAGTTCAAGTGTCAATTTCCCTTTCGTAGAAAGAGCTTTAGAAAAACATGACTGCCCACTGGACTCTGTCAGTTCTTTCTGAAATTAACAGCATTAGACTAAAACATGAATATTTACACTACCGGGCATCCTTTAACACAAACTTGCTGATGCTGTAGAACTCATACAAAGATTTTTAAGGGGCAAGGGCAACGTTTTGGGTGAAATGAGGACAAAGAAACCAAACTACAGTGTCTTACATACATTTTTGTGCCAGACACAGTGAAAGGAGGAAGCCCAGTCTGTTCCCGTCCCTGAAGTAGTCTGTGCTCAGTGGATCCAAAGGGCTTTTCATAAGATCATTATGCAAAACCCAAGCTTCTTGAACTATCTTTTAGCTGTTCTCTCAAGAGTGCAGAACAACTTGGCAAGCTTACAGGCAAGTGTTTTAGTTAAGTAGACTGGGACGAAATTAACAGTAAAAACCAGCCCGTGGTTCTGTCATGCAAAGCTCACAGTAAGAAAAGGCCATCTGAGAGGTTACACGTTGGTCTCCAGTCCCAGCAGGCGTCCCATCCGCTCCACATTCTTATCAATGGTAGCTTGACATGTTATCTCCTTTGCACATTCCATTGGAAACCAGCCCCTTTCTCCATCTCGAAGTCGTTCCCCCTCATACCAGCCTGCAAGGAAAAACCATCTCCATCAAACAGAACCATCTGGAGGAATCTTACTGTACCAGCTGTAAGGAGGAGATGCCTGTTTCAGAGTCAGCTTCCCTCTACAGTCTAGGTACCATGAATGACAATAGGTGAGAGAGACAAAACAGAGGACAAGGTTTCAAGAGAATAAGTGATGTACCATAGATTGAACATGCTTAAAAGTCCTGAAGGGAGGAGTCTGAGAACTGGCTGAGCTGTGGGAGGGAGTGGTTTGCCTGGGAGCAACGGGGAAACACTTTCAGACTCTGAAAGTGAGGAAAAACCTTTGGAAATAAGAACAGGTCACTGGGAGGAAAGGAAACTTGAGGATTTCTTTTGAATGACACTACTGATGTAATCCCATCATGATTCAAAAGGAGAAGTAGGGAAAAGAGAAGGAAGCTGTGTAGAAGAAGCAAGGTAAAGGTTTCAAGTGCGTCAGCCCTCCAGGGGCTCTGAGAAGTTGCTGAGATTGGAAATGAAACCCCAGGAAAGGATTAAGAAGGGGCTGAGGTAAAGATAAGCCCTGGAGCATTTCTGTGTTGGGTACAAGGTTCTGTGAATGCCAGACCACGAGCCCTGTAAGAACACTTCCACTCACCGTCGCCAACGCGCTGATGGATGAGGACCACGTCCGCCACCTGCAGGGAGAGTTCATCTGGCTGTTTGGCAGTAAAGGACCTAATGATTTCCACCTGGGTCAGAGCTGTGGCGGAAAGGGGACATACTGAGACTTTTTGTGGCAGAGGAGAAGCAAAACCTGTACAAACCAACAGTGCATTTGCCCACTCCGTTCTGTGCAATTCAGGCCGACACTGGCAGAACGTGGCGGACTTCTTTTGGGAAGTGTGTTTTAGGAAAGCCTCTTGTTTGGTTGTAAATGTCAGAATTAAAAAAATATATATTTATTTTTTATGTGAATGAGTGTTATGCTTGCATGTAGGTAAGTGCACCTGTGTCGTGCAATGCTTGCAGAAGACAGAAGAGGCTATTGGATCTCCTGAAACTGGAGTTACAGTTGTTAGCTGCCATGTGGGTGCTGAGATTTGAACCCGGGTCTTCTGCAAGAACAATCAGTGTTCTTAACTACTGAGCCATCTCTCCAGACAAAGTGAATGTCAGAATTTTACAGGTTGGGTTCAAGAGGGCTCTTACTACCCATGATCAGGCTACGATAGCCACGATCAGGAATTAGTGGTCATATTAAACAGTGGAACTACAAATAGCCTTGCACACTGGGGACACTGAGGCAAGAGCCAGGAGATGATATGCCAAGATCATACAATGGCTACCATCTGCAGTACCGGTTCTCTGGCTCTCATCCAAAGTGCCCCCATCCTACCAAATCATAAGTGAAAGCTGCTGAAGTTGAGAGACAGCGCTCCAACCAAAAGCTTGCCGTACTAATTCAGAGTCCCCCCAAAGCTGGCGTGCAACCACAGCACTTCAGGAGTACTGACATGACTTCGTCATTTGTTTTTACAAAGTTTGATGTCAAGTTAATCACTTTCGCTTTGATTCTAAAAGCT